CAGGGAAGCAGCCTTTGATCACCTATCTTTGTTTATCTGAATGCCTGAGATGCACTTAAAGACAGTGGATAAATTGGCTTGTGCTGGAAGCCAGAGACCTTTTCTCTTCCTTTGCACAGATTTTTCTGACAGAACCCAGCAGGGGAGGGTTCCAGCTCTCCTGGTGCAGGAATGTGTGCACGTGGCTAAAATGGACTTTTCATTTGTCCTCTCGCTCCCTCCACTGAGCCTTTGAATGGTGCAGGGATGTATAACCCTAGACCTACATGCTGATTAGCCTGGTGTTACCTGGGAATAGCAGTTGGACAGATGCAGTGGCTGGGCTGCTTTGGGTTCCTTGTCTCCAAAATCTCCCCTGGATAAAAGCCCTGTGACGTCAGGGAGAGCAGAGCGAGTGTTTCTGCGCACAGAGCAAACATATGAACAGGAGAGCAGAGCTATAAAGAAAACAGCTTGTCCTTTTTATGAAGAAACATGACAAATACGATTTAAGAAAGATAAAGTTTGTATAATATTTTTCAGAGATAGTCTGACACGCATGTGCACGCACACACAGCCTCCTGTTTGACCTCTGCTGATGCACCACTCACGACTCCTCACAGAAAACTGTCCCCTCCTGCCAGCCTGAGGCACATCATTACATGAGCTACTGTAGAGGACCCAAGCACTGAACACAGCTCAGTCCCCACACCAGAAGCTGTCCATGCACAGGGGAAATCCTGCACAGCTCAAGGTCCCCCCAGATCTGGTGATCGGTCCCTCCTGTGGCTCAGGATCAGGTGTGACTGCTCTGCTGCACAGGATATTTTTACTATCTGTTCAGCTCAGGTTCTTCAAATGTTTGTCAGGAAAGAGTTGTTTCTGCTTTGCTATTTTTAAACTGTCCTACCTAGCTCGGAATAGATTTTATTGTGGTTAGACTTTTTCAGAAAGTCAAAATAAACCCAATAAACCAGTCTGGTTGGGTTTCAAAAATAGAATACATGTATAAATCAAAGTGCTGTATTTATTGTCTCTATGGTAGGAATGACTGCTCAAGTAGACACAAATTGTAGCCTAGGTTTTTAATTTTTAAATTGTTTTCTCCAAGAGTGCTGAGTTTTTTATTCCCTGTGCAGGTGGCACCCATCAGGTCAGCATTTCCATACTAAATGTATAAAACATGAATCTAGCATTCTTTTCATGCTGTGCTATTCTCAGTACACAGTGCTATAATATTCCTCTGTGGAATAGGGTAAGATTTTAGATAAATATGTTTCTTACATGAAAGAGTTAAAGCAGTGAGAAGGAAGAAGAGGAAAAATGAAGATAGTAACTTTAATTCAGATGTAGAATGAAGCAATGACCAGGTGGGGCATGGACTGCAGCCAGCCCAACAGCAACCACTTTTAGCTGGATATGGATAAATTCAAAAGTTGAGAATTTCTTCAGGACACACCAGCAAAAATAATTAATGTGAACAGACTGTGCTATGGTTTTCATTCCAGCAAAACAAGTTTACTCATTCTTAACAGCTTTATATGTCCTGTTGTTATAAAGTAATTTATGCAATTTGAATTCTCAGTGCATGAAAAAAACCCAGACTATAAATTTTATTTCCACCCCTCTTCTTTGAACACTTCAGTGACAAGGGCAAATGGTAAAGTCTTTCAGCTGAATGACAAAATATAAATGGTTTATGCATCATCATGACAAACTAGAGATTCTTTGTTTGCAAATGCTTGTGTTCAAGGCCCCTTTCTTCATGGCCTCTGTACACTGGACTTCTTTTGCATGTAACTTGACTTAAACTAAGCAATGTTCTCTTAATAAAAAAAATAAAATCTCAGGGAGAACAGGAAAATGATTTGTAGCACACATCAAACTGGCATGCAGGAGGACAAGGACTGGACTGTGGCTCAAGGAAAGAACTCTGGATAAAATGGCAAAGTTCTGTACAGTAATCCTTGGCTGGAGGAGTCAGGGAGCAAGGTTTGATAGCCCAAATTCCATAATAAAATGTGGATATACATTTCTCCTCTCCCCCAGCCAGCAGTCCACTCCTGATTCTTGCTGCTCGTTCTTGTGAGGCTCCCAGCTCTGCCATGTGCTGTTGGATACTGCTGGAGAGCCCCAGTAGTGCCAGCTCAGTGGGCTGGGAATTCAGGAATATTGCACGGAGCAAACTGAACCCCCACAAATGAGGAAAGGGTTAACTTTCCCAGCTCCTTCTCAGCAGCCAGAATTCCTGCTCTGCTCGCTGGGATCATCCCTCTCCTTTCCAGTTGTGAGCATCCCAGGGTCTGGGCAGCTGGGATGGCTCCGCCTGCCTGAGATACCCCCTGGAGGAAAGGGAAAGAATTCCCAGGATACAGCCACGAGGCAGGGTGCTCAAGATAGTGGTTGCTGTCCTAACTCAGCCTGGCCCAGACCCCAGGGTTCCCATTCCCCTTCAGATCTCTCCTCAAGCTGCTTTTTGTGCAGGCAGAAAACACCTCAGAGGGTGCAAATGTGAGACAGGATGGTGTGCCTGGGCAAATGGAAGTGCAAACCTGGCCATTCACACATCAGCCATCCGAGCACAAACACAAACCAGGGCAGCCTCAGGAAGAACACGGAGAATTTTCAGTTTATTTTGGAAAGTCTGTTCAAGTTTTGCTTCCCTTCCACGTTAGTGCTGCCATGTTCCAGTTTCTTTGATCGCTTTGTTTGCTTTTCTTCTCATTTCTTGTAATTATTGTATTTCTTTGCATGTGCCACATTGTTTGACTCTCTGAAATTTGGCTTGCTTTCCTCCAGCCCTGTGTTTATTTGTTCCATGATCCTTCTGCCCTTTTAAAAGAAGTTTAAAACCTTATGAAAAGTCTTTGCCAAAAGACATTCACCTCTTCTTGAGGTGAACATCCCTCCTTCCTTTCCCCCTTTCTTTTTAAGCTCCTCATGGCAGGTGCTTATATTTTATGTTACAATATTTTAAGATCCTTTTGCATGTTTCTCTAAAGTCTGTACTACTCTCTACCGTGTTACAGGGATTTGCTTAGTCCAAAGCCATGTGAATATTTCTGGTACCCAAGGCACTGTCTTGGTCTGGATTTGGTTTTCTGGTTTTTTTTGGTAGGTCTGAGCCCAGGGCAATGGGGAGGAGGAAAATAAGAGCAGCTCTTTTTTTTTTAAGAGCAAGGCTGAAATCTCCATGTGGTCTGTCTTGTGAAAGAGTGCTACATAAAGCTTAAATGTGTATTTTATCAATATCCTCTAAATTGAAGGTTTTATTACACTGGAATAAGTGGTAACTTCAGAACATATGGGAATAAAACAATGAATCACACCTAAAGACACTCGTGTTTCAGCCTTCCAGAGCTCCTGCCTGCCACCCCCATTCCAATCTCCTGTGACTTGGCACCCACACCTCTTCCTGGAGGGCACCAGTACCTAAAGATTCTGCATGTTTTGGGGTTTTTTTCCTCATGTGGTGCTTAGGAGAGGCAAACCCAGCAGTGCTGGTTTTTCCCTCGCCCTTGCTATGCCCCTGTGAGGTTAATGTGACTTTAGCTGCACTCAGGTCTTGGTTTATATCAGAATAAACCTTCTGCTGTAGAGAAATCCCAAATAAGGCTGAGAGAAGTTTGCTGGAGGCTCTTTTTAGAGAAATGCTTATTTAATTACCCATTAATGGAACTTACATGACTGTAAATGCAAACATGCATGCTCCTTAAAATAGTTCTAGGAGAGATGCTTTCCTGTGCAGTGGCTGTCCTTGGAGCTGTGTTTTGGGGCGATAAATCCCGCTCACCATCTGATGTGCTGTGCCAGACGTTTTCAAAGCTAAAACAAGTGAATTCATGGAGCACTGGGAGCGAGTTCCAGCCAGCAGAGCCCTCTGGTACCCCAACTTTTCCACGGACCCCGAGTTACACGGGGATGGCTGCCTGACAGCTGTTCCCTGTCTCCTCTAGGAAAAGAGCTCGCACGCTGTGTTTTTATAAATTATTTTTTTTTAAAATTTCTCCTCCGCTGCGTTCCCCGCAGCGCACACCCCAACCTGGCAGTGCCGCCCTCGGCAGTGCTGCCCGCTCAGAGCACCCCCTCGGGATCCCGTACCCCCATTCCCTCGGGATCCCCTCAGGATCCCCTCGGGATCCCCCCATACCCTCACGATCCATCCCCTCAGGATCCCCTCAGGATCCCCTCGGTATCCCGTCCCTCCCTTCCCTCACGATCCCCCCATCCCCTCACGATCCCGTCCCCCATCCCCTCACGATCCCGTCCCCCATCCCCTCACGATCCCCATCCCTCACGATCCGTTCCCATCCCTCACGATCCGTTCCCATCCCCTCACGATCCCGTCCCCATCCCCTCACGATCCCCATCCTCACGATCCCCATCCCCTCACGATCCCCCATCCCCTCACGATCCCCCATCCCCTCACGATCCCCCATCCCCTCACGATCCGTTCCCCATCCCCTCACGATCCTGTTCCCCATCCCCTCACGATCCCGTCCCCATCCCCTCACGATCCCCCATCCCCTCACGATCCCCATCCCTCACGATCCTCCCCATCCCTCACGATCCCCCATCCCCTCACGATCCCCCATCCCCTCACGATCCTGTTCCCCATCCCCTCACGATCCCGTTCCCCATCCCCTCACGATCCCCCATCCCCTCACGATCCCCCATCCCTCACAATCCCGTTCCCCATCCCTCACGATCCCCATCCCTCACGATCCCCATCCCTCACGATCCCGTTCCCCATCCCCTCACGATCCCCCATCCCCTCACGATCCCCCATCCCCTCACGATCCCCCCATCCCCTCACGATCCCGTTCCCCATCCCCTCACGATCCCCCCATCCCCTCACGATCCCCCATCCCCTCACGATCCCGTTCCCCATCCCCTCACAATCCCGTTCCCCATCCCCTCCCTCCGCCGCTCCCAAATGGCGGCGGGGCCGATCGAGCGCTCGGGGCTCCCCGGCGGGCCGGGGCGGAGCGGGCGGGCCGAGCGGCGCAGGGCGGTGCGGCGAGCGCCGAGCGGGCGGGGCGGGGATAAATGTCTGCGGGGCGCGGGGCCGCCATTTTCTGTGAGCGCCCAGCGCGGCCCGGGCCGGGCACAGGTACGGGACGGGATGGGCACGGGTAGGGCCCGGGGCGCCGGGACGGGATGGGTACGGGCCGGTGGGCACGGCCGGGGCACCGGCACGGGTACGGAACGGGCGGGGAGAGCCGGGCACGGCTGGGGCACCGGGCCGGCACAGGTACAGGTACGGGTACGGCGGGGAGAGCCGGGCACGGCCGGGCCGGTACGGGCACGGAGGAGGAGTGCCGAGCCGGCACAGCTGCGGGCGGGCCGGGTACGGGCGGGAGCGCCGGGCCGAGCGGAACACAGCTCCGCTCCCTGTCTCCCGGGCCCCCCTCCCGCGGGGCGCTCGGCCCGGGCGCGCTGAGCCTGGGCCGGCCTGAGGGCGGGCGGGCTCGGCCCCGACAGGCCCCGGGGAGGAGCGGCGGGGCCGGGCGGGCGCGGGGCCGAGGGGCCGGGAATGCGGCCGGGCTGCCAGCGGAGCGGAGGGGCCCGGGGGAGCAGCCGCGGCCGGAGCAGGACATGAGCGGGGGCAGCTGGGACACCTGGAGCCGTGCCTTGTGCGGGGGGATGAGCATCCCGCACAGCTGGAGCCGTGCCTTGTGCGGGGGGATGAGCATCCCGCACAGCTGGAGCCGTGCCTTGTGCGGGGGGATGAGCACCCCGCACACCTGGAGCCGTGCCTTGTGTGGGGGGATGAGCATCCCGCACAGCTGGAGCCGTGCCTTGTGCGGGGGGATGAGCATCCCGCACAGCTGGAGCCGTGCCTTGTGCGGGGGGATGAGCACCCCGCACACCTGGAGCCTGTCCCGCCTGTGACAGGCAGAGCAGTGGGATCCCTCGCAGCGGGACTGTGCCACGGCCAGGGGAAGAGCAGCAGGATGAGTGTCCCGCCCCCTGGAGCCGTGCCCTGTGCACAGGGGATGGGCAGGGGGCACTTGGAGCGCCTGGAGCCGTGCCCTGCCAGGGCGATGGGCAGTGGGACGAGCATCCCGCCCCCCCGAGCCTGCCCTGCCCACAGCGGAGCCTGTGCTGGCCCGGCCTGCTCGTGTCCAGCTGTAGCTTTGTCCCTCCCGCTCTTCCAGGGGGCTCCCTGACCCTCCTGTCGCTGCGATCCACAAGCTGCTGGAGCAGGAATGGAAAATGCCTTGAGGTTGTATCAGCACAACGAAAGCTTTCTGCTCAGGCATTCTTTGGTTAGAGCTGCTTGCTTGATTTTGTGTTGGGGTTTTTTTGTGATTTAAATTCAGTTAAAAAAAGCTATTTGCAAACTGGAGGAAGATCCTTTCGTGTCCTAATTTTCCCTAAACTGTTCCAGCCGTGCCAGGTAGCAGTGGTATTCCTGCAGGGCCAGGGCTGGCTCTGGCCTCTCTTTATCTGCAGTCTCACTGCACACAGAGATAATCTGCCTGTGTGGCTCTTTTTCCTTCTTAGCCTTTAAGTGACACCCATAAATACAGGGACCTCGGCTGGGACAGTGAGACCCCACCCCCAGCTGCAGTGGGATTGCTGGAGCACAGTGTGTGTCCCAGGTGCAGCTGTAGGTTGTCACAGGTGAGCAAAACAAGGATCTATAGTGGAGCAAAACTCAGATTCCTCCAAAACCAAACCAGCTTAAAATATCTGAAAATAGTTTGATACAAAAGACTTTTAAAATGTCTTTTAGTGCTTCTGGAAAAGTCAGCTCCAGATACTAAAGTATCACTGCATTGTGTCAATCCAGGGTGTAATTTGAAGGGGTATCCTTGTTGTTTAGGATATGTCTGCAGTGTTGTTGCAGGAGGAAGGATTGACGTGGGGAATGGGAGAGTTAATTTCAGGCAGTTCAGTTAAATCTCTGCTGTGGTCACCCATTCAGAATGGAAGTGGCTTTAATTTGGTTTGTCTTAATGAACATTTTCTGTAGGCAAACCCTAGGGCTACGGTTTATCCTGAAAGACGTATGGATCTGGATGTGTGTTCATGAAATGCATGGTCAATGTAGTAAGCAATTTAGTGTTAGATTATTAAATCAGAAGTGAACCAGCATAGCTGGGTTGGAGCAGCAGTGCTTTCAGAAACCTGGAACGTGTTTTTCATATGGTTTTTTGCCATACCTAATATCTTCAGGACTGGACAACTTATTGTGCAACACTGCTGACTAACCTGCTTTGAAAGAAAATCTGGAAGTAGCAGAGAAAATAGCTATTTTTTTTCTAAAGAAGATCAAAAACTTATTTTTTTTAGTTGAATCCCTTTCCTATTTTTTATTCTTAACACCACCGCATTCTGTTCAAATGACGTATGAAGTCACTGCTGTCTCAGGGCCTGAACTTACTACAACTTATTAAAATAGCTCATATTTTATAAGCCACAGACATGACCCACAGAAATCATTGGTCAGCACTTCTTGGTAAGCTAAATCAGCACTAATTTCTTCTGGAACATATACTCCCCTCCTCCCCCCAGATTATTTGTGTGGCTCCTTCTTCAGTGTTGGGAAAGCAGGAGCTGAGGGAGAAAGCCCTGCTTTGCCTCGTTTGCAAAGATTCAGTTCAGAGCTGCTGCTTGTAAAGGAGCTGGGAACCCAGAGCTGTTGGATTTCTGTGTTCCAGTCGCTTCCCCATCTTTGCTGCTGCCTCACTTCAACACCCCCCAGAGTTTTCTCCTCCTGCCTCAGCTCTGAAGTTGCTTGTCCTGCCTCCTTGGCCTGAGGGAGGCTTTGCCTCGGGCTCCTTAGCTGGGAATGTGCTCCTGCAGCACACCAGGGGTTTGTGCTGTGCTGCTCTGGCTGATGGAGAGCTGAGAGTTCTGCCATCCTTTGGCTTCCTCGGCCTGTGGGAATGTCCAGTTCTTCCTGCCTGTGCCTCCCTGCTCAGCTGGAATAAGGGGATACAACCCACATGGCTCGTGCAGCTGCATTTCCAAAACTGCCATACAAATTCAGCTTGAAACAAGTGCTTGGAAAGTATTATTGCTTTGTATGAAACAAGTTTCTGGACCAGAAGAGAAGCAGAGGTCAGCCTTCTATTTCTCATAAAAACATCACATTGCAGAAGTCAAGATTATTTTTACCTGGGGAAGTAACAAAAAAATCTTCAAAACAAGATTGAAGCTTGTGATTTGCCAAATTTCAAGACTGGTAATTTAAGCCTGAAGGTTTCACATAAGTTGAATTTGTAAACAGACAGGTTTACATCTACACTGGACCAGTTTTGATTGATTTTGTGTAATTGCTTATGCAAAACCCTTCAGTATGTTCTGATCTGAAATACACCCACTGGGTGTCCAACGAGGTGGTGGAAACACTTGGTCAGCTCTGGAAATTAATGGAAAGAGGAGTTAATACAATGCTGGGAAATCAGGTAACTATGACCAACTAACAAGGTATTTTAGCAGTGAGCTCATGGCTTTTGAGACAGCATGAAGCAGATACAACTTAATCTGTATGGGTAGTCCCTGCTTAGTGATGTTCTTATCTTTCCTGCAGAGAAAGTCTGTTTTGGCCCCAGTTCTGTGAAGAATTCTCAGAGCTGTGCTGGCCCTGCTGCGTGAGCTGGGTTTCTGTAAACAAGGATTTTGCTTTGAAAAGCAGCTGGCGCACGTTTATTCCCTGAGTGACTCGAATATTGTGTTTGTACTAGAAATGTCATCTGTTTTACACAAAGTTGATTTTATTGCAGCAGTGTGTACTGACCTTTTACAGTTTAATAGAGTATGGTCATCTCGTGTCCCGAAATGGTGCAGTGCAACGGCACAGGAGGGTAAACAAAGCGCCCTTCTGGAGGCACTTGGAAAGGAGCAAAGCATTTTCCTGGGGGACTCCAGAGCTAGGAATGAGAGCTGACAATTAATAAGGAGAATGCTTACATAAGCAAGTATATTTTTTCAGGGTTTTCAGCGGCGTAGTCCATGGGATTGAAGTGTGTATTTTGCAGAGGGTTTTGCTTGCTTGTGGGGGATGCCAGCCTTTCCAGAGGTGAGATTTCCCATGGAGAAGCTGGAATTGTGCAGTGGGTTTGTCTGCAGGTGCAGCTGAGCCTGCCGTGCCTCTCTGCTGTGCACACTGTAAATGCATCCCGAGCGCAGAAAGGAGCAGAGCGCAGGGAAATCAGAGCTCAGTCCTTCCCCTTCAGGCAGAGCAGCTGTAGAGAGCCGTGCAGTGCTCTGTGCCCGTGGCAGTGTCCGTGGGTGTTCTCTGGGGTGTCCGCAGCTCCCTGCCGGAGCCCCTTTCCCGCTGGGGGGCTCCTTTGGGAGCCGGCTCCGGGCTGTGTCTCTGCAGGTGCCGCGGTGAGCCCGGGGCTGTGCTCCCTCCCCGATGCATTGTTAGTGCTGCATTTGGGACCGGCAGCTGCAGAGAGGGCGGTGATTGCTGGGGCATTCCGATGCAGACACGTAGTATCGGGGCAGAGCAGTGCAGCCTCGGTGTATTTTTAGTTCCCAGGCAGAGGGAGGTTGTTTCAGTGGCTGCAGCTGGGTGTGGCGTGGGGTTAACCAGATTAATCAAGGCTGGCTCAGGGCTTCAACTTTCAAAAACGGCTCAGAGCCCCCATCAGTTTTGTTGTTCCATACAACAGAACAAGCTGGAGTTTTAAAAGGGGGGTTTTAGGAACCGCGAGCTGTGAGGGATCAGCAGGAGGGAGATGCAGGGTAGTGCCCAGCTAGAAGAAAGATGTCTCTAACACCTTCAGATCATGGGAAAGCGTTTAAGGTATGGGCTCCTTCCAGCCCAGGATATTCTATGATTCTATAGATTGAAAAACTTATAACATGACTAATGCTCCCTTTTCTGCCATGTCTTTTATTTTGCCAGTCATTGCTTCCAGTGTATGTCCCTGGCAGCTCTGCCAGGAACTGGTGCTAGTTTTTGGATATTCCGCTTTCTTGTTCTGTTCTCAGTCATTTCAGAGGGTTTGCTCAAAGTCTGGTCATCCTTTCAGTATTTTCCAGTGCTCTTTTCAGTCTGTTAGCACACCACAAAAGGCACTGCTCTCTCTTTACTTGCCACCTGTGGGACAGATGAGTAAATTATTCCTTTGGATTTATTCTAATTTTCTTTGTGTAGAATAAGATACAATAAGAATAAGATGTGGGATTTTACAGGAGAGTTTCCTGGTGAGACTGAAGGAGCACAGTGAGACAGGTGACGGTGCAGGTACTCCCTTTGGTTTGCATGGAATTGTGCCACAAATGTAGGAGTACAGAGGGATAGTCCTGCACAGTAATACAGCAGATGTAGGGAGGACCATTAGATTGGAAGCTTCAGTGGTGGAAATGTTGCTGGGAAGAAAAAACACCAGTTAATCATATTTTAATTAAAAAAAAAAATCCTGATTTATTGTTACCCAAAAAATGCCAGTTACATTATTCCCAAGTGATTTTCATAGAAAGTACCGTAGCTAAAAGGTTTCTTGTAGAAGAAAAAGAGGGATTTTTATTCCACTTTATGTGGAGATGAGAGAGCCTGTAATCATCACCTCTCCAGTGATCTTTCATTTCAAAAGGCGTATTTTGATACATAGCAATCTGGTGGTTTTTAAGCTTTGGTGTAGAAAGTGTGCTAAGTTTCTATGAAAGTTGATCATATTTGGTACATAGGATGTAACCTCAGCTTCACATTCTAAAGAAAACTTATTTTTTTGATTCCTGAAGTTCAGAATTTATCTAGCAGTAGTTAATACCAAGGTTACAGTTGGGTTAATATTTTCCTTATTTTGATAATTTTTGATAGAATTTGAATTCCTTCAGATCTAATCTACTGCATAACCCTATCAAAATATTTTAATTTATTAATTTATTTATTAGTAAAATATTGTTGTGCATTTCTGTTGTAATTTAATGGATTTGGGGTTTTTTTTGCAAAGCCTGTGTTGTAAAACTCATGCATTAAATATGGCCAAAGTGTCTCAACTCTCCTACTTTTGAATTTGCGTGAGATCTGTCTGTAGTTCTTCACAGAGACAAACACTACAGGGGCCTTTCTGTGCAAACAGAAACATCTCTTGATTATTCCAGCACTTTCAGGTTTAAGGGCAGTTAAATATGTGAATGATAATTCAGTTTTCCTTAGATGAGGGAGAAAAGTGTCGGAGCAGAGGGGGCCCTGCTCTTGTCTAGCTCTGCCCTCGCTGTCTCCGTGTGCAGGGGCTTTGCAAAGCTGTGTCCGTCACTCATCTGCAGGGTGAGCAGGCACAGAGCCGGGAGGGTGCTCATTCCACGGGGAACAGAGTCAGGCTGTGGGATGTGTGGGAGCAGCAGTGTTTGGGATCCCTGCTCTGGACAGTCTGTGTCAGTGGGACTCAGTCAGGCTGTGGGATGTGTGGGAGCAGCAGTGTTTGGGATCCCTGCTCTGGACAGTCTGTGTCAGTGGGACTCAGTCAGGCTGTGGGATGTGTGGGAGCAGCAGTGTTTGGGATCCCTGCTCTGGACAGTCTGTGTCAGTGGGACTCAGGCTGTGGGCAGGGGTGTGTGGGAGCAGCAGCGTTTGGGATCCCTGCTCTGGACAGTCTGTGTCAGTGGGACTCAGTCAGGCTGTGGGGTGTGTGGGAGCAGCAGTGTTTGGGATCCCTGCTCTGGACAGTCTGTGTCAGTGGGACTCAGGCTGTGGGCAGGGGTGTGTGGGAGCAGCAGTGCTCCTCGCTGGGATCGCTGCTCTGTGTTCCCGGTGGGATAGCTGTTGTTGTTATGTGGAGAACCCTGTGGAGCTGAGCTGTGGTCGCTCAGGGGCTGGGGGTCGGGCCAGAGCAGGTTCCTTGGCGGTGTTTGGAGTCCCTGGAGCAGCTGGCAGTGGTTGCAGCCGGCAGAGGCAGCAGAGGTGCGAGGCTGCAGCTTTCTGCTGACGTTGGCCCAAGAATGAAGCGCGTCAGAGCCATCACCCTGGGTGCTGCAGAGCCGCTGAGCAGAGCAGGCTCTCACTGCTGCAGCGGTGCCCGTGGCAGGGATGGGTTCGGCTCACACAGGCACCCCCTCCTCACAGGTGTCCCAGCCCTGTGCAGTGACTGGGACTGCGGCACTGGTAATCAAGAGGTTACAAAAAGAGAGCCAGCTGATGTTGCAATCTAAGCACTGGCCCTGCAGTGGAAAGACTGTCCTTTGGCATGTTCACTAGTGCTATTTTTACCTATTCCAGTAAGATCTGCCCTTGTGATGTTGAATTACAGGACGGTACCTGCAGTAATTTTGTTTTACAGAAGTGCTGCATGCTCTGAAGAAAATTTTCATTAAAATTGTTGGGCAGATTGAGACTATAATTGTCTTTCATTGAAAATATTTTTTCTTCTGTCACCATAAATAATACTGCCCTGGGACTGCAGGAGATTCTTTCACTGTTGTGTGCATATTTTATGTCTGGCAGAGGGATTTTTTTTTAATGTTCCTTTGTATATTGATTGTCGTGTCTTTCTCAGCTTCTCATGTGGCGACTCTAAAAAGGCAATGTGGTTTTTAAAGGTGGGGATTAACAGTGTAGCCCAGGAATAAGTGTAGTAGGAGTTTTTTGTCACAACTTCTAAAGGGCCTGGCTGATTTTGATAAATTTTTAAGTTGATGGTTCCTTCACCCAGTGGGAAATCAGTGTGTTGTTTTCTGGGAATAGCCTTCCAGCACTACCAGTGACAAAGGGGTGCATTTACCAAAGTGTTTGCAATGAAAGGTACAGGAAACAGCAGGAGTGCTCAGAGTGTGACACTGGGGCTCAGCTGGGGAGGTGTCACATGCAGATGTCAGATGTATTAGGTACAGTGTTGTTCAGGTGTGTTTGCTCAAACCAGCAGCATCTGGTTCAAAAGTGACTTGGCAACCCTGGAGCACAAACCCCAGGCTTTTGTTGGGCCTGGTGTGCTCTTTGTTATTCAGGTGTGTGTTTGGAGCAGAAGGCAGGGTGTGACACGAGTGGGATCAGTGCTAACCTGGGTGGGTTCAGCACTCCCCTCCCAGCACACCTGCTGCTCTCGCTCCTCCTGCTGCTGCCCAGTGCAGCTCAGGTGGAAATGCTGCAAACAGGCCAGCTCCTCCAGACCACACTCAGTTCTGCTCCCTTGGCTTTGCCATTGTCTTTGCTGAACAATTGTCTGTCTTGGGTTTGGCTCTCACATCTGCAGTAACAGCCGGTGTTTTTGACAGCTCTTTCACTTAGATCCTCCTTGATGCCATTTCTATTAACAGATGTCCTTACTGATTTTTTTGTCACGTGTCTCATCTGTCAAGTATGATGTGATTTGTCCTCCCTCACGACTGTTGCTTTGGTTGCAGGTAAAAACACTGTATCTGCTGCTTCCTTATCCCATCACACTTGTTTTATGCTGTACCCTCTCTTCTTGATTGGTGTATGAGATTCTTTTCTCTTCTGTCTGATTTTACAGTAAAAAATACTTTGGCTTCTCATTCTGTAAACTCTGTACCCTTCCCCATCAAGTTTTTATCTTCTTTTTCATACACCATTATCTGTCACACTGACTGGATTCAGTGGCTTCTCTTGTATTCAGTTACAACTGAAGATCTCACAATTCCTTCCTCCCTTCTTTGCAGTCTCCCTGGTTTTCTTTGGCCACGATGGAAATCATACCCACACCATTTTGTGTGTCACATTCCAAAATGCTGCAGAGAGGTGCACGAGGTGGGAAGCAGGACAAATGCCCAGTTCAGACTGGAGGTTGTTTTTAATGTTTCAATGGCCAGGTGGCTCAAGGTGAAGGTCCCAAAGCATTCTTCTGCTTTCTTGTTAGCCTTTGGGAGTTTGCTGTCAGGGGAAGATCAGTGCAGCTTGGTTTATTCTTTTGATTTTTCCCCACCTGCTCTGTGCAGAAGGGAGGGTACTTGTAACCAAAGGTGAGCTACAGTATAAGCTGTCCTGTTGATGTTTTTGTTACCTGTGCTCTCTTTCATTTCATACAAAGGCAGATGTGAGAGAGGTGGTACTGCTCTCACAGTAGTGCTTAGTGCCCCAGAGAGCCTTCAGAGGCTCAGCTGCTTTCTGCTCTTGGTTGGTTTGCATCCAAGGTGTCCATGTCTGTGAGTCAGCAGAGTGTTTGTGTGAGTGAGGAACTGCTGGGGGAGAAGACAGTTTTCAACTCCATCTTTACTTTGGTTACTTTTGAGCTTAAAGGATCTTTGCAGTGCTCTGGAATGGGAATGATGTTCTATTGGACTGGGTGGCCTCTGCTTGTCCTGCAGTCCGGCCTTGGCCGTGGTGTCTGATTGAAATGGGGAGAAATGCTGAGAACTGACAACTCTGACATCGGGAGGGTGATCATTTAACTGTTGTTGATGTAATTCACAAAGGGGCTTCTTTGTTATTAATTTGATCTGTAGTTTGTTAAAATAGTAAATCTCTTCTGTTTTTGTGTTACCTTCCACAGATGATGTGCTTCATCCTTTTGTCATAGGACTTCATTCACTTAAAGGAAAACTGAAGGTATAAATAACTTTCTCTTGTTGTATCCCCCTTCCTCCTTATCTTGCCCCATTATTTATCCTGAGGTGCCTGGACCTTTCCTGGGGGCAGGGAAACTCAGCCAAGCTCTGTGCTTGTATTCTTGCACTGCTGCTAAAATTTGCTTTTTGTTTTTTTTTTTTTTTTTAAAATACCACAACATGGCTATGGAACCTACAGTTGTTTCAGTGTTTGCTTTATCAGAAGTGTATATTTAACCTCAGCTCTTACTTTAGTCGGTCTCCAGGGATATTTACTTTGCAGGGGAAAAGCCCTTGGTTTAGAACTTTAGATCTTGATGTTTGCCTGTCTTCTCCAAACAGCATTTGCCTTTGCACACAACTGCAGCTCTGGTGGGAATAACCCAGACCTAATGGACATTGTGTCTGTGATGCTATCTTAGAACTCTATCTGCGAGGCAGAAAGGCTGTTCTGGCACTTTGTTAAATAAATAAAAGCCCACCCAAAGCAGAACTGGAGTTCCATGGATGTATTTAGTAAGATAATGTAAGATTGAGTTAAAATGGAGCAGAGTATCTTTTCGAAGACTCTCAAGACATAGTAATTTAGTAAATATTTGACGTAGTCTAAGTAAGTTTGCTTGTGTACAGTCTTTAATTTTTAGGCACATTCCATTTTTATTTGCCATTTTATACAGGTTTCTTTGCAAATACAGGTGGATAGAAACCAATAAAATAAAGTTATTAGAGCTGTCCAGGCAGTTTGTAGTTAAAATACTCAAGTAGTACCGTGTTAGATTTAGTTCTTATTGCAGAGAGATGCGTTCACCTGCTCTCAGGTGCACTTTATTTTAAAATGTAAGGGAAAATCATTTATTTTATCTTCTCAGGAAGCTATCTCAAGGCTTTTTCAAACTTTTCTTGATGATCTTGCCCTTCTGCTCTGTTCTCCTCTCATCCATTGTTCCCATGCCCAGGCTCTTGGAATCCCAGCATTGACCTCCTCGTGGCACTGCTGGTTCTGGCCCAGAGCCCACATTGAATAAACTGAATTTATTAGCTCAGAGCTGCCTTGGCCCAGCTGATCCCTGCCTGCTGTGCTGCCTGTGCAGCTCAGCTGGCACTGGCTGTGTTTTGCAGCGTGTTCCACGAGCAGGGAGCTGTGGAGCTGTGCCCTGCAGTGATTGCCAGCTGAGCTGAGCTTGTGGGGAGCTCTCAGGGCTGCTCCTCATTTACTGCCCAGCTGAGGGAGGGCAGGGCCAGGAATTCTTCGTGCTGAGGTTCTCAGTGGCTTGGTCAGCCCTGAGAACTCGTGTGGGAAGGGCATTTGGGGGATTGCTGACATTTGAGGAACTTTGTCGTCTTGGCTGGAAAGTGGACGAGTTCCAGGCAACTGCAAACACAGTTTGGGGCTTTCAGCCTTGAAACAAGTGGAGCATGAGCAAGGTCGGAATGCAGATGGCACGGGACTGGGAGTGCATGTGCAGTGATGGAGACACAGGACCAGAAAGGCTTGTCCAAAGTGTGTGCTCTGTGGAAAGACAGAACACTCACAACCCCACCTCTGTAGTGCTTGCAAGAGCTACCTTTGGAAATCTTTCTTTGAAGGAAGATTTTAACATGGGGAAGAAACAAAAAGTCCAAGAGTGTCAAATAATGTGATTCTGATAGATCAGATCCACGAAAGCAGTGCTCAGGATGCTTTTTGTTTCTAGCAATGTGTTTGAATTTATGAAATTAATAAAGGAGAATGTTTGCAGTATCACTTCAGTGTTAATAGCCTTCATGTTAAGGGCACATCAGATAAAAATTTACAAAATATTATATAAAGAAGAAGCAGAGGTTTTACTCTGGGACAAAGAGTTCTGGTGCTTTGTTAGCAAAACTTCTGCAAGATTTATGTGCAACATTGGTGTACTTTCCTTGCTTGCTTTTTCCTTTTAAAGGTGTTCCTGTGGCAGTTTTATACACTTTGTGAATATATATAATCTCAGCACCCGTACTTAACCACAGTTTAAAAACATTCTGATTGCTTGGAAAAACCTGTGGCATTTTTATTTTTACCTGGGATTGGTTTGTTGCTTTGGGAAAGGGAAGGATTTGGATTCTGCATCTCTCTTTTAAACACAAGGGTGTTCAGTGCTCCTGTTTCTCTAATGTTCTTACTGTGTGTAAATAGTGACTAAGAGGGGAATGGTTGTGAGAAATAAAGAAAAAGATGAGCAAAATACTTCCAAGATCAGAACAGCTGAGGCTGAAGTTATATATGTTTCTGTACTGGTTGGTTTTGTTCTGTTTTGAGTTTGTTTTTTTCCCTGAACACTAACATTTCCTCCAGTTAATTTTTAATTTCTGTCAGTTGTGCTAGGGAGGAGTTTACTTTTTGGCATCCATCTCCTAAAATGAAGGACACACAGGGGAAAAACACCAACCTTGGAGATGTAGGAGAGATGGGCTTGGGTTGTTAAACTGATCCCAACTCGTGCCCTGCATGTTAACATGGATCACAGCTTTATTTATTAATATAGGAACGTGTCTATGTTTATCTTCTACTGCTCTGAAAAGCTACTTTAAAAAAAGATACTGCTCTGTTTCATGATAGATCTTTGTTTGGTGTGGGTTTCTGTTTGTCCCCAGACAAGGGGTCACCCAAGCAATATGAAATCCCTCAATAATTACTCTATGGGAGGAGAAAAGGCCACAGTTAAATGTGTGTCAGAAAAGAAAACATGGCTTATAAGCAACTTTCAAAGCTTATATTTACTGACAGAAATGTTAAGTTTGAAATGGATTCTGGGCTGTGTTCTTTGTAGATGTATTTCATGAAATATGACTTAATTAAATGTGACTGTTAATTGGGTGGATAAAAATGGCAGCACGTGTGTGTGTTGGAACTGTTCTTACATTGCTGGGAAAACTTTTGGTGTTTGTTTCAGAATAAAAAGAAAGGGCAGGTACCTAAGAGAGGAGTTGAGCTCTGTATCCTGGGAACTTCCAAGTTTGGCATTTCTTAGGGAGGGAGGGAGACTGAAATTGTTAGCAGTGCAGACTAAACACTTTTCCTGGTCATGGAAAATGTGAAAGTGACTGAAAGTACCTTCTGAATGTGATGAGTGACGAGTGCGTGGAGTGGGCTGAGGGACTGATCTCCAGGAATTTGTTTCTGTCAGATGTGCACGTTCCACAACCCTTCTGTGCATTTGATTATTCAAAGAATTAATTATCAGGATCTGGAATTACCCAGAAAGCACTAATGAAAAGTACCATCTTGGTCGCAGCGTGCTGTATTCCTGTAGGACTGGGAGGAAAATATGACCTCATTTCTCTGCTCAGACTGAACATGTAATGTGAAACCGCTCAGGATCAGCTTCCTGCAGTGCTGCATCTGCAGCAGGACTCACACACTGCACTATCTTCACATGCTCTTGGAATGCTGCAGTTGCAGTTTGCAGCTGTGGACAGGCTGGTTGAAGTCATTGTCATGGAAGTGAGGAGCTGCAGGGAGAAAAGTTGGAAAAGTTTTAGAAAGATGCAGGAAAACATTCAGGTGGCATTGGATTATTTATTTGAGCCTGGCATAAACATAAGTGTTATACCTGGTAATGATTATGTTTCAGAAACATGCTGGCAACTCGTTTAAAGGAAGGAAACATAGTTTTTCTGGAACAGACAAACTAAGAATAATATATTTATAAAGGCATCATTGTAAAATCTTTCCTTGTTTAAGTGAAATTTCTCTCTAAAACATATCACACAGCTTTTCACTGGTGTGGATCGTGGCGGATTTGGAATAAATGAATGTAGTTTCACTAAAAATGCCTTTAATCAATGACTGCCTGGAGCAAAATACCCAGAGTAAATGGAGGAGTGGATGCCAGGGCATGGGTTCCTGGGCTCGGAAAAGTGAGCTGTGCTCTACCCAGGAATTCTCTGCTAAGGTGGACTCAGACCTGTGTCCTGTGGCACAGACCGTTGTGTCCTGCAGTTGTGCTTGGTTCAGTGTTCAGTGAACCACCTAGAATGGTGTGTGAATGTGCAATGTTCTGTTGTGTCATTAAATGTTATTTTCTAGTCAGCTTGGTACCAAACTTACCTTTTGTCAGAGCACAGGTTTGAGTTTCTTGGTACTTCCTGTTGTGTCAGGAATTTTTCAGGCAGTGTTGGCAGCAGGTCAGGATGTTAAATAGGCTGTAACATTGAGGTGGTGTCACCTGCATCAGCACTGAAATCAAGAGGGATTTGATGACTGTCCTGCCAGTCCTAATCTCAACTTCCCAACTTGGTCTCCTCTTATTTTGGCACGTGTATTACGGGGAGGGGTGAAAGCAAGAAGCTTCCATAGGGGGTAAGTTGAGAGAAGGAAGGGGGCTGAGCTGGCTGGGTTTCACCTTTCCCCTCTTACCTGGCAGTTTCTCTCCACTCAGGTTTATTGCTGCCATCTACCTGGCTGCTCCTTTAGCTGCCATGTGCACTGTGTGGGTGTTGTAACTGTACATAACTTTATTCACCTTTCTGATGCCTGACAGTAGGGCAGTGCTTATGGACTGGGAGATGCTGTCCTTGCAGTTGCTTATGTGTGGTGAACTTGGGTTGGGTTCCTCGATTTTATCTGCCCTTTTTATTCAGAATGTCTCTGTCTTGCTGTTCATTGTTCCCTCTTTACAAGACTGTTGTCATGTGCCACAGATTTAAAAATTCAAAGAAATCCCAGGTGCCTGAATTGTGTTAGATTTCAGTGGGATATTGAGTTTTACTTACATTTAAAGGTCTTGGGCCTTTTCACAACTGGAGCTGCTCAGCTGATGGGGTGGGTGCAGGAGTGACGAGGTTGGCAGGAGGATGTGTTTGCTGTCACTGTACACCTTGTGAGTGAAAGATGTTCAGGAGCTGACCCAAAGATCCTGTGAGGGGGCAGGCCCAGGGCTCTGCTGCAGAGTTTGCATGTGATGGGGGGCCTTGTGGGAACCACACCTTTCTCTGGAAGCTTGTGTTGTGTTCCCTTGCCAGCTGCTGGGCAGACCTGGGGGACTGCCCACGAAGTGGATTGGACTTGGCACTAGTGGAGATCTTTTTTATCCAAGAATTCCACTGTTTTACCTCTTCAGTTGTAGCAAACACCTTAGTGTTTTCTCTGACATAAACATGAGCTGGAGGGTTCCAGTAATGTGCAATTAAAGAGGTGCAGGACCATGGAAAGAGGCTGGAATAGCTCGTGGTGGGTGTTAGTGAGGAGTGTTGGCTACTGGATTAGGTTGTTAGTGAGTGCAGGAAACGCTGCAGGTCTTCCAGCCAAGTCTTACCTGGACCGTGAGGGGATTGAATTAGGGTTGCTTGGAAGACCCTGATTTTGGCATGTCCTGATTGATTTGCTTTTTGGCTTCACAGTTCTATTACGACTTTCTGATCCCCTTTCCTAGAGGTGATCAGGAGTGTGGGTGGTGTGTGCAGCCACTGGAGATGACTTTGGAAGCAGCTACTGCCATGGGGAAGGTGTGCAGATGCACTGCACAGTCCTGGCATTGCTCTCCCAGGTGTTTGTAGAGGCTGCAGTTCTGTGGAGGACATAAATTACTGTGCCCTTTTCAGTGGTTATTTTTTAATTGTACTTTTCAACCTTTGGTAATAAATCTGACTACTTGTAAGTCTGGAAAGGAGGACAGACTTTCTTTTCACTTAGTTTTGAATAAGATACCTTTGGAGTACAATTTGGAGTTTGAGCTGTGTCGCAGTTGTGATGGCTGGGAGAAAAAATGTACAATGACACCTTTATCTTTGTCTGTGTGTGTGCTGAAAATGTACTGTGTGCTGATTTGGGAGTGTGCAGGGGCTTGGTTGTGTCCTTGCACTGGGAGAGGTTTATAGAATCCCAGAATGGTTTGGGTTGGAAGGATCTTAAAGCCCATCCCATTCCACCCCCTGCCATGGGCAGGGACACCTTCCACCAGCCCAGGTTGCTCCAAGCCCCATCCAGCCTGGCCTTGGACACTTCCAGGGATCCAGGGGCAGCCACAGCTTCTCTGGGCAACCTGTGCCAGGGCCTGCCCACCCTCACAGCCAGGAATTCCTTCCTAATATCCCATCTCTCCCTGCCCTCTGGCAGTGGGAAGGCATTCCTCTTGTCCTGTCCCTCCAGACCCTTGTAAATAGTTTCTTTCCATCTTCCCTGCAGGCTCCTTCAGGTCCTGGAAGGCCACAATGAGGTCTTCCCAGAGCCTTTTCCGTGCTGAACAATCCCAATCTCAGCCTTTGTTGATGCTGAAATGTAACTGAGCACAGTGTGTGTGAGGGCTGAGATGGTTTTTATGCTGTTCCATACTGTGTAAGTTGTGACAGTATTAAAAAAAGGAAAAAATGTTGTTGAAGTTCTCAGATGCTTTCAGAAAAGCTGAGGTTTGTTGTCTCAGGAAGACAAAGTCCCAAAGGATGTTGTCGTTTTCCCTGACTCTCCCAATTTTTGTTCCCTAGACCACACCCATGGAGCACATTCAGGGAGCTTGGAAGACCATCAGCAATGGCTTTGGACTCAAGGATTCTGTGTTTGATGGCCCCAACTGTATTTCCCCCACCATAGTGCAGCAGTTTGGTTACCAGCGCCGAGCCTCTGATGATGGCAAAATATCCGACACCTCCAAAACCAGCAACACCATCCGCGTGTTCCTGCCCAACAAGCAGCGCACCGTGGTGAGTGTGTCTGCCTGCAGCACTGCCTGAACACACTGCTGACACTGCTGGGGCTCAGGCTGTCAGCAGCTGGTTCATTCTAGGGGACATGTTTTGAAAGCATTGTATCTGTAGAGAATCAGCCGGGTTGGAAAGGACCTCTGAGATCATCAAGTCCAACCCTTGATCCACAACCACCACAGTTACCAGACCATGGCACTGATGCCACATCCAGTCTCATCTTAAACACTTCCAGGGATGGAGAATCCACCCCCTCCCTGGGCAGCCCCTTCCAATGCCTGATTACCCTCCCTGTAAAGAATTTCTTCCTAATATCCAGTCTAACCCTCCCCTGGCACAGCTTAAGACCATGCCCTCTTGTCTTACTGAGAGCTGCCTGGGAGAGGAGACCAACCCCCACCTGGCTCCCCCCTCCTGTCAGGAGTTGCAGAGAGTGCTGAGGTCTCCCCTGAGCCTCCTCCTCTCCAGGCTCAACAACCCCAGCTCCCTCAGCCTCTCCTCACAGCACTTGTGCTCCAGTCCCTTCCCCAGCCTTGTTGCTCTTGTCTGGGATGTTCAGAACCTGTATTTCTCTGCCTCAGTGCTGTGAATTTTCCAGTGTGCACAAGCTGCATACTCTACTTACATAAATCCCATTAAAAAGCAGTCGTTGGCTGGCCCAAAGAGCGGTGTCTGTAGGACAGTCACTTCTGTCACCGTTTTCCTCACTTGGATACCCACAGTCAAATGTGGTGGTTAAAGCTGAAGTGAAACTTCTTGGGGGAGCACTTCTGCTCAGTTTCTTGGAGCTGAGAATACTAATAATAGTCTTACACAAAGTTCCCTGAAGTCTAAATCAAGCCTTTGTCTGTACTTCAGGTAACTCCATTTGTCTCCATTTTTTATTTACTTCTCTGGGCTTGTACCTACCTGTATAAAATCCCCTTTGATAGAAACTTAGGGGTTGTAAGAAACCAAGGAGTTCATGAAATGGCTTCAAAACTTCTTTGCAGGGGTACACAATAGGTGGGGATGTGGCAGCAGATGTGCTGGCCTGGCAGGTTGGCTTCATGTGCAGTGAGTTAAGTTGGAAGGCACAGCACTTTGTGGTTACATCATACAAGTAATTTTTGCTTATCTGTTTGTCCAAAGTAAACAACTGTGTGGTTTTACTGGAATTTCTAAAGAAAATGAGGAAAAAATGGCCTTCCACTGCTGGAAAAGCTTAAAGAAGTTGTGCAGTCCCTGAGTAAAGGTTTTGTTGGCTTTGTTTGCCGTTGGTCACAGGTGAATGTGCGAAATGGGATGACCCTGCACGACTGCCTGATGAAGGCACTGAAAGTGAGAGGCCTGCAGCCAGAATGCTGTGCAGTGTTTCGACTTCCTGAGACAAAAGGGTAAGAGGGGAACTTCTCAGCAGGAGAATGTGAAAATCCTGGGTGTGGCACAGCAACAGCAATGCTCTTCTCTGTGGCTGCTTCCTTTGAAAAGCACGGGTTGGTTGTGAACTCTTCCATGGTGCTTTTGTTACCCTCCTCTGGGGATACTCCTTCAACTTCCAGGGTATTAACAGTTCTAGTTTGGTTTAGAGCTAAATATCGAAAATACTGAAAATGGAGGGATTTACTCAAGTGCTTGGAAGGTCTCACTGAGGCTTTGGTTATACTCTGGATGAAGTGATGCCTTCATATTTGAGATGCCTTTCACTGCTGCATATGTAGTTGGTAAACTTCAGTGCTGGTGATTCTTAGCCAGCTTAACTGGACATCTCTGTGTGCTCAGTTTAGAGGCTCTGATTCCTGTACAACTTTCCAATGTTTGGATTTAAATCTCACTTTAGATATTCCCTGTTTTTTTGTAGGACTGGGGATGCTGCTATTAAATACCAAATGATTGTTTTACAAGCTGAGGGAGTGAAGGTATCTCATGGAGTTAATACACTTAACTTCACTTGTGAGGCTTGGGCTTAATGCTCCTGGAAGGCTCAGTCCCGAGGCAGGAATTTGGGGGGTTACATCTCTGTGGAACTCAGGCCATTCTGGCGTCACCAGTAACTTCAGTGCCGAAGCACTTTCATGTCACTGAGTCACTGAGTTTGTAATTTCTCGTGTTTTGTTTGCAGGGGTATTTCTGGGACTCCATTCAGGCTTCCAGGTGTCTCATTTGAAATAACACATCCATATAAAAATGTCTTTCATGTTAAAAACGAGCAGAGGGAGCGGTGACCTGCTGCGTGGTCAGAGCTGCTCCTCGTGATGTCAGCGAAGGGCACTGGGATGGAGCTCCTGCAGGAGGCTGGCCATGCTCTGTGTGGTGTTTTTCAGTTCACTCAGGAAAACTCACACAGCACAGGTGGTTGGTTGGGCCAGACTTTTTATCTCCTGAGGAATTTTGTGTCCTGTGTTTTGTCTTTCAGCAAAAAGGTGCGTTTGGATTGGAACACGGACGCTGCCTCCTTGATTGGAGAGGAGCTGCAGGTGGACTTCCTTGATCATGTGCCACTCACTACACACAACTTTGTAAGCTTTATTTTATATTTGTAAGCTGTATTTTGATGTAAATTGTATCAGTTGAACCACGTGCTCAGTCCAAGAATGTTTTGGGCATTAGACAGCTTTTGGCTTCTTAAACACAGGGATTTTCAGAAGTGATGATTGATTCCTTCACCCCTACTCCCCACAAATTACACTGGCTAAGTATCAATCTGCATTGAAATGCCAGAATTGTGTTTATTTCATTAGTGATTCCTGGGTGGCAGAGGCTCTGAAAGCTCACATTATGCATACTCTTCAAAGGTCTGATGATTACCATTTTTATTTTATATAAATACATAGTTATGTAACTGTTGTATTAAGATATTGTGTCTTTGAAGTCCAGAACTGTGAGATAATTTGCATTTTCAGTCTCTGGCTCATCAGTCAAAAAAGGCTGGATAAGTTCAGGACATTTACTGGACTGATGGTATTTGTACTGGATACACAGGGAGCCTTAATCCTGCAGGTCATGGCAGTGCTCTGCCAGCTGATGCTGCCTGGGAGTTTGACAGAGTGGCTTTTTGGGGATGAAAGGCTTTAGTCTCCTTCTCAAAAATGGATTATTTATTCAATAATAAATAAATAAGGTTTTGTGTTTTAAGGTTTGTTGTATATGTGTGGGTTTTGTCTTTCTAATTATTTTTTTACAAAGAGATAATGCCCAACTCCTCCATTATCATCTTCTTCATGGGAAGGAACTCCATTCCTCTGTTTTAACCTTTTTGTTGTTTAGTTCCAGAAATACATTGTGCTAAGTGGCAAACCTGCAGGATTGTCATTTACAGCCATTAGAAAGGTTAGGATTGATTTACAAAACCTGAAAGTGGCATCATTTCTACTTGACGTTTTTAGAAAACTACAAAAAAAAATCATCTGCAGTTGGTCACCAGAAAATGAATATTTTTTGCAAGATCTGGAAGAAACTCAAACTTCAAGATTTCCTCCCCAGTGTGTTCTGGAGGAAGAAACCCTTTGGCTCATTTTACTTTTTTTTTGTGTTGTAGAAGCTTCAAGAGAAACTTGTGGGCTGCCATTTAAAAGAGTAGAAATTCCTTAAGCTATTTTATTTCCTAAGGAATTTGTTTCTCATGCAAGGGATATTGGTTAGTCATAAATATGCACCAGGGCTTTTGACTAATAAAAATACTAACGAGGTGGTCCTTACAGTCAGATCCTCCTTCACCTCCCTGGTGTTACCAAAAGCAAACAAAAACCCCCAGTTCTTGACCCACCGAGCTCTGTCACCTTACTGGGCAAAAAAATTGCTGTGGCATTGGACAGAACACTTTGTTTCTTTGTTTTGTAAACAAAACCCTGAGTGTTTCTCACTTCCAGGTTTCCAACCGGACTGGGAATCTCTGCAGGCATATTCAGGTTTGGTTTCAGTGCAGCAGCAGTCTGGGGGCACTGATAACAACAGCACAGACTCTGCAGACCCCAGTGGGGTTAATGAGAAGTCTGCAGTCAGCTGAATGACCTGGTGTATTTTCCAGGCTCGGAAGACCTTCCTGAAGTTGGCCTTCTGTGACATCTGCCAGAAGTTCCTGCTCAACGGCTTCCGCTGCCAGACCTGCGGCTACAAATTCCACGAGCACTGCAGCACCAAGGTCCCGACCATGTGTGTGGACTGGAGCAACATCAGGCAGCTCTTGTAAGGACTGTTTGTTGTTAGTGGCAGCAGTTTCTCTGTAGCAGACGAGCTTGTTTGTCTCTCTTATCGTGGTGATATGTTTGGATGGTTGGGAAGTGGATCAGTATCCAGGCTTGTGCATTGATTTCATGAAACAGCCAGCAATGATTGTCTGTTCCCAGGGAAAGAAGGCCGTTTACATTCAAGGCATTTTACTCTGGCACTGGATTTTAATATTCTGGGGCGAGCAAACAAATACCCTGAATGACCCTCTGTTTGAACAGTGATAGCAATTCCTCACATAACACTTTTGTTAGGAATGAAAAAGGCCATGATTCGGTTGGTTTTTAGTGTGCAGAACTACCCCAACTTCTGACACTCTGTTGAAAACATACAGGATGATGAAAGAACAGATGAAGGATAATACTTCCTAGTATTGCTTAAAAAAAGTGGAAAATCATTGTTAGAAGTCCTTTCATGCAGAAGTGCTAAAACCTGGAATGGTTCTTGTGTCTTAGTGATTGTATTTTTTTGTAACTGAACTTGCTCCTACAGTTATGCATTTCCTCACACTGACTAGTGGTTAGAGTGGAGGATGACTCTGGGTTCAAAGGAACTTGAAAAATGTGGGTCAAATACCCTTTCAGGAAAATCTGAAGTTTAGAAGGAACACATGGATGTTGTTTTTGGAAATCTGCAGGCACAGGTTTTAGTTGTACCACACACGGGGAAAACATGATGCAAAACCAGGAATGTGTTCACCAAGTGAATTATGCTTCAGAGAAACAGCCCTTTAAAATCTGAGCTTTCAAGAGCATTGTACAGGAGGTAGTGTAGCAGTTGAAGTTGTAATTGTTTTTGTTGATATTTCAGATTGTTCCCAAATTCAAATATCAGTGACAGTGGTGTCCCTGCACTACCTCCCTTGACAATGAGGCGGATGCGGGAGTCTGTCTCCCGGCTACCTGTTAGGTAAGATAGCATTGCCTGTCATTTCTGCTTTGGGAAACCCTCTTGTTCCAAAACAAACAGTCCAAGCCAACAGAAGAGCCCCAACTCCTCAAGAGCAGAAGGCTGGGATGAATGTGCAGGGTGGCAACACCACTTCATTCACAGATGATGTGCAGTGCCCTTTCTTGTTCTTGAATTTGAGCAGACCGTTGATTTGAGATTTTATGTTTTTAATTTTCTGCCTTAAAATTTGAAGGAAGGGCTTTTGGAGGCCTTTGTTTTTCTGCCTAAGAAAATTCAAGGCTCCCCTTTGGTATTTTTGTGAATGGATTTAATTTTATCTGATCAGGCAGTACGGTGTAATCAAGGGTTTGTGTTGTGCTGGATGATTTGCATACATTAAAATAACGCTGTGATGTTGTGATGACAGATAGGAGTTTAAAGAGAGAACACTGAGAACTCAAAATTGCTCCTCTTCAAGAAAATTCTGATACCTCAAGAGAACATTCTTGTAATTTTAAATGCTAAAATAAAACATGCATTCCTTTCCAAGGGGCCTGTCTCCTGATCCTAACTTGTGCCTGTATTCTTTTCCTTGGAATTCTAGAGGCTGAAGAGGGCAGGCCAGCTTTTGTTTTTTCTGCACCCCTTTGAAAAGTCTTGGCCTATTCAGGAATGAGGCACAGAGCACGTAGCTGACTTGTAAATGGTTCTATGTATTTCTTTATTTATTTTAGTGGGAACTGCATCAGAACTGATCTTTGCCATCTCCTTCTATTTCCACTGTTGTTAAACAATGACTTACTAACTTGATAGATGATTTTAAGGTTTTTTGGGAAGACTGGCTGATTTCAGTTAAGATACATGCATGTTTTGGGATAAATATGGTTTGAGGGACCTTAGCTGTGATTTATGACTTTTTGTGGAACTGGATTTTAGTGTTGGCCTCCTTTTAACTGGTGTTGAGTTTCATGACTTCCTTGCTGGCTGTTCTGAGCAAAGCATTGAACAGTCTTGCAAACCTTGACGAATTCAGGGCTTAGCTCTGAAGCTGTGCATTTGACAGGCTTGAAATGAGCTGTTTGTTTAGATTTCACAGCCCTGAATTCATCTGTCAGAGCCAGTATTTTGTCAGCATATTAAATGTAATTTGATGGGGATTGAGGGGAACTGTGGCAAAATTTGTTATGGCAGAAACAGTCTTATGTTAAACACACTTGTGTTTGTATGTGAGCTGACAAGAACTTCCAGTTTTTTCAGTTTATTTCCTAAGTTAAAGTGGTAATGATTCAGCTGACCAGACAGTTTAGTTGGTGTGGGAGTCCCAACCTTTTCTCTCTTTGGAATTCTGTGTATGTTGCTTTTGGACAGGTTACATTGTTTTTCAGTGTTTTTCAATTGCTAGAGGGGAAAAAAAATAACCACAACTTGCCCTTTCTCTCGCTCTCTCCTCAGTTCCCAGCACAGGTATTCTACACCTCATGCCTTCACATTCAACACCTCCCACCCTTCCTCTGAGGGCTCTCTGTCCCAAAGACAGCGCTCCACCTCCACACCAAATGTCCACATGGTCAGCACTACAATGCCTGTAGACAGCAGGATAATTGAGGTAATCCTGGCACAAAGTTAACCTAAAACTCAGACTGGCCATCTAATAGCCACTGGTTGGGTTTTCTTCTTTGCTTTCTGTCATTTGCTTTACTGTTTGCCTTAGTTGGCTGAGTGATGTACAACGTAGGTGACACATTTGCATAGAAAGTTAGTAATTCATTCTTGCAGTCTATCAACTTTGCTGAACCAATAGGCAGATTTTTGGTGTATGTCAAGATGTGCTGGGGCTTAACAATTGAGTTGTCCAGATCTGAAGAGAAAATAAGCTCAACTTCGCTGCAGAAATGCCTGTTGGGCATGTCTAAAAGTGTTCTTTCAAACTTAAAAGTCTGGGTTTGATGTGGGTTTGGTGTTTGTTTTAGGTCAGACTACAGGTGATGTCAATCTGGGTGTAGTTCTTGGGCTTGGAATACTCAAGTCAAAGCCTACTGGTGATATGTTTTGTGTTCTCCCTGTAGGATAACAGTGATTCTGGGTTTGTGGGCTGAAGCCAGCTTATCTGAGGGTACTTCTGCTGTTACCTGCTTTCAAGCACCTCTTTCTTTTATTTTCCTACCTTGCCTGGCAGTAGTGAGGGACAGCTCTTAGAAGTCAGGCCTGAAGTGGCTGGGGTTTAGTTAAATTCTGTTTTGTGCTCCCCCTGACAGACTGAGGGAGGGGTGAGCAGGAAAGGCTGGCGGGAGTGCTGGGCTGCAGGGCCTCACAGAGCACTGTTTGTTGGTGTCTTCCTTTGGAGTAGTTCAAACACTCTTCAGGCCAGGCAAAAGCCTTTGCCTGCTGAGTTCAGGTGCATCTTCAGCTGCTGGTTCACAGCCTGCTGTGGCACGTGGAGCCTGCACAGTCCTGGGGCCCTTTGGGAGGAGGGACAGGCCCTGCAGCCCCAGGAGGTGTTTGTGCTTGGAAGCTTTGTGGCCCTTCCTCTGGGCTTTCCTTAGGATCACCACCTTCTTCAGAGCTTGAGAGCTCTGCTGACCCTCTGTGATGGCACCAAACATCGTGGAGCACTCAGAGATGAATTACCTTTGCGGAGGGATGAGACTTCAAGCAGACATTGCTTTCTTTATTCCTTACCAGAGCAGGAAAGACAGAAGTGCTTTCTGTTCTGGCTCTTCGCATTGTCATAGGGCTTGACCCTTGTTGTGTCCTAAGGGCTTTTCCAAAAGGCTTTAAAAGAGTCCCAGAGCAATGCAGAAAAAAGGAAGTAGAGACCTTTTAGTATGTCAGGAGAAAGACCACCTTAACAAAGTGGTTTAGCAGAGACAGGTACCAGTGAACTTCTGGTTTGAGCAGGAATACCTATTGGAAAATTTTACTGCACTTACTTACCATTTATCAACCAAATTAGGTTGCTTTTTCTTTCATTTAGCATAACATTTTTAATTTTTTTTTTGTACTTGCTCTGTTCTTTTCTCTTACCTCTTACCACGTTGGCCTAGAATAACAGCCTGAATGCTTCTCCCAGCTCCTGGTGCAGACGGTTTTGTTTGAGGGGAAGAGTAGGTATTTTCTTGGTGCCTTTTGTTTTCTTGTGATTAACAGGATTGCTGTAACTTGTGAGCCATGGCAGTGTCCACGTGAAGTGTGTAATCTGCAGTTGACTGGGTGGAAACCTTTGTGGCATGTTTGTACCTAAATACTGGGGACACTAATGGGAAGAGCTGCATTTCTGTGGAGCTGAGTGGGCTCAGAGCACTCTGAGCTGCAGCAGCCTTGGCTCAGAGAGGCACTTGGTCACACAGCCCTGAAAGCAGAACCTGCTCAAACACATCTCTTGGGTGGCTTTTTCCTTCTGGAAACTATTTTTAGGGAGTATAACCGTACAGAGCCCTGAGAGTGAGGGCATGTACTGTTTTTATTTCACATCAAAGTAAAGTTGACAGACTACAGCACTGTGAATGGTGTTATTTGTGTTGGGAGAACAACTCTAAGAAAGTAGGTTTGGTTTATTTGCTGTTGGATTCATAAGCAAAGAAGAAAATATTCAAATCAGGGTTGAAGTTCAAAATACTTTTTAAAATATACATAAGTATGAGGACAATTGAAAATTCATGAGTTATCCTTTGCCAGCTTAATTTAAAGCAGTTACGTTCTCAGGCTGATGTGCAAAACCCAGCACTTGTTAATCATTCAGGTGCTGAGAGGGTTTTACTGTCCTTCAAATGGACAAAAGTAATAATTGCAAGAGTTCATTGATAGTTTATGGAGATTTTAATCCACTCAGGTGGTGAGTGCAGGAATACTGTACATGGTCAAGCCTGGGAGAATGCAACTAATGGGCTAAAATGATGCATTTCATAAATGAAGCTTTGCTAAGGATAATCTTAATTTGAAACTGTACAGTGGAATGTAGGCTTGTTCTGTCCTTCTGTGAAATCTTACATTTATTATTTTACTAACTAGTTAGTTTGAATTGCCTTCTCTTAACTCTGACAGTATTTAACATTTCTGTAGTGCATGTTCTTGCTTTGTACTTACACAGTCCCTGGATATTTTACCTTTCCTGTATGTTCTTTGGGATAATCCCTATAGCAGGTGAGAAAAGCTGTGCAGTGCTGTTTGTCAGAGCTTAGTTTCCCCTGTGCATGGCTGTAGAGTTGTGTTGTGCCTGTGGCATGAGGTGAGAGCTGTCACCCTGTCCCAGCAGTGCCCTGTGCCACCCCTGCTGTCCAGTGCCAGGCTGCCCTGGGGGGAGATGTCCTGCAAACCAGGAGGGCTTGTGTGAGGGCACCACATGGAGCCTTTTTCTGGGGGTTGAAATAGTAGAGATACTTCAAAATGGATATTGAGTTAGAATATTTTAGGCTTTTTTTTTTTTTTTTTTAAGTTTTTCTACTTGTTCCCCCAGCCCTATTTGGGAACTTGTCCCCTGCAGAGACAGGCCATGCCAGGAGCTGTCCCAGCCCTCAGACACGAGCATGTCCCAGTGCAGGGGGGAATGCAGACAGCACTGATGGTGTTCTTCTTGTTCTGTGTCTTTTTTTTTTTTCCCCACTTTTCTTTCCTTTTTTGGTAGTAATACCCTTTAATATGCTGTGAGTCTTTTCATGTGCTGTAAGAATTCACCAATTGCATGGGTTTAGCACATAGGATTGGTGTAACCAGGAAATCACCCATCTTTTGGAGGGGGTTGGCCAATATTGCACTCAGCAAAACTGCCAGAACCAATTTCAGCACCATTCCTGCTTGTTCCTTGGTGTGCTCTCTGATATTTATTAACTCCATTCTCCATCTTCCCTGTTTTAGGATGCAATTCGAAGCCATAGTGAATCAGGTATGCTTTCAAAAACTAAATAATATCTAATATTACTTTGATTGTTTATTTTCTTGTTCATAAATTATTTTTCTTCTATTTCTGTGTTTCAGCCTCACCCTCTGCTCTGTCTGGAAGTCCTAACAATATGAGCCCAACTGGCTGGTCCCAGCCTAAAACCCCAGTCCCAGCCCAAAGAGAGAGAGCTGCTGGATCTAATACACAGGAAAAGAACAAAATTGTAAGGGTGCTAATATTTGTGTTAATAAAAAAAAAAAAAAAAAGTTAAATTAGGCTGGGAGTAGGGGTGTGTTGAGATAAATTTCTGCTCTTAAAAGGCATTAAAAACTGTGGTAGTGTTGGATTGGTCTGCACTGTGTTTGCAGTAGCAATATAATTTGAACTAATTTGGGAACCATCACACTATTGCCTTGGGTTATAAATACTCAGAACAAAGTGTTCTGCTTTGAGAATGGATTTCAGACAGGAGTGTGAAATTGTTTTGCAGTGCAGATTCAAGGATTACCTTTTAAATCTTTAGAGGCTGCATCTTTCTTATTGGTTTTGGTGTGTTTAAGGTCAGCCTTATCATCACTATTATCAACGTGTTGCCAGAGCTCCCAGAGAAAGTGGATATTAATTTCATTTTCACAGGAAGTTAGTCACAATGTCCCAGGGAGAAACAGCTTTAACAAAATGCAGGTTTTCCCTCAAAGGTTTGATTTAAACTTAGATGATGGAGGGGAAGAAAGAATAGTTAGAATAATAATTATTAGTATTTCTTTCAAAATGCAAGTACAGTTGCTTAGTGGGACTCAACAGCTGTTACTCACTTGGACATGTGAAAATTCCACTCTCATCTTTTTGTTTTATTCCATTTAAATGCATAAAGAGTTCCAGAATTTCAGCATTGTCATTTTGAAGAAGCCAGTAAGGTTCTTAGACATTTCAGATGGCTTTAAATAGTTGATTGTAAAACATTTGATCTTCTTCAGATCTAGGATTAGGGTTTAAGTTTCTAGGGCAGAATTTGGGACAACTTCTTAAGCAGTTCAGGCCATCCAAGAAAGTGGATGAGGAGAAAAAGCAGAGTCCAAACTGCAGGACAAAACCCTCAAGGTTTCAGGTCACATTTTTTTGTGTGTATATATAATATATCAGATTGAAAAGTAAAAACCATGTCAATTCTTGTTCCAGAGGCCTCGTGGGCAGAGAGATTCCAGTTATTACTGGGAAATAGAAGCCAGTGAAGTGATGCTTTCCACCAGGATAGGCTCGGGTTCCTTTGGGACAGTTTACAAAGGCAAATGGCACGGTGAGTTCTGGGCCTGTCACCATCTCACAGCATTGCTGTGCTGGGACAGCATTCCTGACACTGGGAATTTAATGTGCTCTGTGCTCTTCTGCCACCACAGTGCTGGGTGAGAAACAGGAGCTTCCTTACTTTAGCAGCACTGAAATTGAAGGCAGAGAACAGACATTAATCAGACATTTCTGTCATTCATGATTTCTCTACTGCTCTTGGATAGAAGATTTATCCCTCCCCTTCCTAAATGGAGCAGTATCCAAATTTAGAAAGTTGGCTTTTTAGATGAAGTTTTGTTAGAAAGGTTATGTGGATATATACATACAAACATTTTAATATTTAAAGTTAATTGTAAAAATGCTGAAGCTGGATAGCAGAGTGTTGACTTACATGCAAATTAGTAGAGGTGTATTTTGCACAAATTAGGAATTTTAATTACACTGCATATTAACATTATTTTGGAGAGGAGAAAAAAAAAAAAGCTACCTTTTTAGTAACTTTTGTGGTCAATGTATTTTCAGGGGATGTAGCAGTGAAGATACTAAAGGTTGTAGACCCGACCCCAGAGCAGTTCCAGGCTTTCAGAAATGAAGTGGCTGTGCTGAGGTGAGTTGGAGTTTCACTGCTAAACTGCTTTATGCCAAGGCTCAGCATTTGATTCCCACCCCTCCTGTAAGCCTTTTGCCCAGTGTTCTGTGTTGATAGACACAAAAAGCAGATCCCCAGAGCAAAATGAGAACCTTTGTGTTGATGATTCTGTTGCTGTGGAGCTGTGAGACAATCCCAGCTCAGAGTCCCTCGGTGTTCTCTGCTGCTGCTGCAAGGTTTGTGTTCCCCTCAGTAGTGCCACACCCACAACTGTGTGGGAAAAGGTGAGGATTAATAAACTCTGCCGTAATTCTCACCAGCAGAGGACTTGAACTCCAACTCGATACTTTCAAAACTGCAACATAAGACTTTTTTTTAATGCTTAAACATATGCTTTGATCTGAGAGCTTTCTGCTTTCCAATACTGGGGTTTTTTAGTGTTCGAGTAACTCTCTGTGATGTTCCTCCTGAAAGTGAACTCTTTAGATGCCTAAAAACCATCTTCTCATCTGATAATTCCTTCACAGTCTATAGGGACCCTTTAGTTTCCTCTTGGCATTCATTTTTCTCTCTAGTTGTCACTTTTGCACAGCTTTCAGGATGATTCTCTTATTCCAGTAACCACTTCTGATACCACTTGAAAACATGAATGTTGGTTATTGATTTCAAAACACTTGAATCCTCCTGACACCTTTTCCTTAAACGTTGATTTTACATTGCTTCTGTGGAACTAAAAGGGAGTATTTTAACTAACATTTTAACAAAAAAACCCCAACTGATTTTATTAAAAACCAAACAAATTGGCAACTGTGGCATATTTTTATTATTTGTAAAATCAAACTTTAGTCACATATCCAGCTTGGAAAAATTTTGCAGGAAACTCACGTTTTTGGCCTCCAAAGCTGAAATACATCCCTTCGGGCAGGACTCCATTTGTGCAGGCCTTGGAACACGTGTTCTGTGCAGCCCCTGATTTCCCTGTGTGCTCCTCCCTGCAGGAAGACTCGGCACGTGAACATCCTGCTCTTCATGGGCTACATGACCAAGGACAACCTGGCCATCGTGACGCAGTGGTGCGAGGGCAGCAGTCTGTACAAACACCTGCACGTCCAGGAGACCAAGTTCCAGATGTTCCAGCTCATCGACATCGCCCGGCAGACGGCGCAGGGCATGGAGTGAGTGGCGTGGGCAGTCCTGGCCTCGGCCTGGAGGGTGTTTGCCTTGCCCTGCCCACACCCTGACGTGGGCACTCACTGGGCTGAGACAGCAGCTGAACCTCAGTTCAGTCGTTGGTCCCTGGGGATCCTTCAGATCACAGCCTCATGGAATGGTTTGGGTGGGAAGGGACCTTAAAGCCCACCCATTCCACCCCCTGCCCTGGGCAGGGACACCTTCCACCAGCCCAGGCTGCTGCAAGCCCTGTCCAGCCTGGCCTTGGACACTCCCAGGGCTGGGGCAGCCACAGCTTGTCTGGGCAACCTGTGCCAGGGCCTGCCCACCCTCCCAGGGAAGGATTCCTTCCCAGTATCCCATCCAACCCTGCCCTCTGGCAGTGGGAAGCCGTTCCCCTTGTCCTGTCACTGCCCATGTGAATCCCCCTCCCTCCTTTTTATAGGCCCCCTTCGGGTCCTGGAAGGACCAGTGAGGTGTTCCCAGAGCCTTCCCTTCTGCAGACTGAACAAACCCAGCTCAGTTCACCTCACTTATCAGTCACCTCTTGTGTATTTTATCTTGTACAGCTTGAGGTTGTTACAACACACTAAGTAAGATCCTGTTCTAAATATAGAATTAAGGGGTTTTTTCCTTCCCTGTGTTACTGTAACATTGCAGTATTTGACAACCACTAATTTATCCTGCTGGTAGTTCTGTGGGATGAGGGGGTGGCTGTTCCTACTCTGCAGCTCCAGGACTCGCTGAGATACATTCTGGAAGCATTTTGCAGATGTTTGAGTTGATTGAGGCCCCAACTCACTGCTCTGCCAGCACTTGTTCTGCTGCTGGGAGCACACAGGGGCTGTCAGTGCTCATCCATTCTGTGGGGCAGGACCCAGGTTTCCAGTCAGACCCCCAGGAAACTGGGGCATGTAAATGAAGAGGGTTTGTGAGCAGTCCCCTCAGCACAGGGCACAGATTTCATGCACAGGGAGACAGCCCCAGTGCTGCAGGGTCAGTGTAAGGGGTGCCATCTCTGTTCCTGAGGTCCTTGCACAGTCAGTGATGCCCAGGGCATTGTTCAGAGTCACCTGCTGGTGACCAAAGTACCCCCATCTGTCCATGGACCAGAGGTGTGAGAGGTGGGTGAGTGTGCCATGACCTGGCCTGGGGTGAATGGAAGGGCTGTTTGTGAGCAGCCTTGGGAATGACACTGCTCTGCTTTTTCCTTCACAGCTATTTACATGCAAAGAACATCATCCACAGAGACATGAAATCCAATAGTATCCTTTCTGAACGGTCCTGCCTTCAGTGGGAGGGACTTACTGGGGATGGAGCTTTTGGGGGGTTGAAATAGCTGTGTCATAAATACATATATGTGATAAATATTTAGAACACCTCACATGACTGGCAGAAATGAAGCCAAAAATCTGACTTTCAACTCAAGAGAAGGCAACCTTTTACCACTGTATTTTGTGCAAAAATACAGATTGAGCAGTGCATGTGGAGTAAAAATGTTGTGAACTGCCATCTTTTGCCTTTGAAGGTGCCTGCTTTTGGAATTGCCAGGAACAGCAGGAATTGTGACTTCCTTCCATATAATGTGAACAGGATGTTTTGAAAATGTCATCATAAAAAAAAGAATCCAAGTTCAGTAGTTCCATAATGGGGATTCCCATTTTCAGTTAAACCAGAAATAGAGTCATGTCAGTGTATGGGAAGTCAGGAGTTTGTGATTCCTGATAATGATTTTTGTCAAATAAATCAGCTCTGCTTCTGACAGGGAAATGAGGAGTCAGTCATGTTTATATTTCTGATCATCTCTTTGAGCTCAAAACATTCCTAACTGAAATTGTTAAACGATACTTTAAAATAACCCCAACAAAGGAAGTACTGGCTATCAGTCCTAACAGGCAGATCTGTTAAGGACATAATTACAGAATATTTCCAGTTGAAATAGTTACACTGTGGTTAAATGTCAGGAGATCTGCCAGAGAGCTTTATGTAAATAGATATATTTTTATAGTTACTTCTACTTGTAGTTGGTGTAGGGGTTTCTTTGAGTTGTGAGACCTCTGTGCTGTTCCCGTTCAGTATTGCAGTACTTGCAGGCAGTGATGGCAATCAGCATTGTTGATTTCTGCCCTAACCCACCATAAACAGAGAGGTACAAATAATGCTGACACATCTGGTCTTGTTTAGTCCTAAATGTTAACTCTGTAAACATGGATGCCATAAAATTGCTGTTGCTGTGTCGAAGACAGAGCTCGCAGCAGGGTAAATAGAATAATCAGCAATGTTCTTGGACAGTGGCTTGTGTTTGTGATCACCAGACACTTTGTAGCCGTGTCAGGAAATGCAGCATTGTGTCCTCAGGCGTTTGCAGGGTTTCTTTAACCAGTCCTCAGATATCTTTCTCCACGAAGGCCTGACAGTGAAGATTGGGGACTTCGGGCTGGCGACGGTGAAGTCGCGCTGGAGCGGATCCCAGCAGGTGGAGCAGCCCACGGGCTCCATCCTGTGGATGGTGAGCACGCCCTGCCCTGCTCAGCCCCTGCCTGGGGGCTCTTGTGTTCTGCCAGTTGAACACAATTTGCCCCCTAAAGCTCAGTGCTGTTAGTGCTGTGGAGACTCTGCTGGCACTGTGAGTTCAGATTGAAGCGTGAAGTGCTGGAGTGTTCGCTGTGCAAAGGGACACCTGAGGCTTCTGCTCTGGAGGGCTGGAGTTGTGCGAATGCCTGGGGCTGTCACTGTGTCAGGAAGTGTCCACTAAAGACATGAGGATGCTTGGCCAGGGTTAATTTGTGCTTGGTAAAATGCACCCAACACCTGAAACCGAGTTACAAGAGCAGAAATGGTTTCTTCTTTTAAAAACTCGTTACAAAAAGTCACATTTTTTTACAGCTTTCTGTAAAATGATTTAAAACTAACTTACCCAGTGGATACCTGAAACAGATCTTGTGGAAAGAAGCTCCGTATTTGTTCTTTGCTGGTTTTTTTTTTTCATTTTAATAATTTGTAGCCCTTTTTTGCTGAACTGTCATCACATAGAAGGGGGAGGTTGTTTCAATTTCCTTGCAAGTTGCTCCGATCCCCTGTTGGGGTTTTCTTGTGCTGTTGTACTTGAGTAATTCTCAGTAATTCTGGGGGGCTTCAGTAGGGGGGAAAGAATCTCAGTCATTGGGGAAGTTATTTTGATTGTTCCTCTCTGGTCTTGTTCAGTCATTCAAAGTTGTTTCCTTTAAGCCCCTCAGCTTCATAACTGTGGTTTGTTCTGCAAAGATGCTGCAGAGCTCCTGCAGTTCTTCCCTGGTTCCTGCTTGGCTTTCAGGAAGATGTTTTGCTGCAGATGTTACAAAATCTCAAGTGTGCATGGGGATTGTGTGGACGTGGATCCCTGTGTGAGAGGTGGTGGGAGGGTGTGAGGCTGAGCTCAGTGTGAGCCCCAGCAGTGCCCTGAGCTGCTCCCTGTGCTCAGGGTGTGTTTGCTCTCCAGGCCCCCGAGGTGATCCGGATGCAGGACAGCAACCCCTTCAGCTTCCAGTCAGACGTCTACTCCTATGGAATAGTGTTATATGAGCTGATGACAGGAGAGCTGCCCTACTCCCACATCAACAACCGAGATCAGGTGAGAACACGCTGGCATTGCACATCTCACAGGACAGCCACTGAAATGTTGTTGTAACCTGCTTTGGTTCAGCAGCAAGTCTGTGGTACTGAATGTTTATTCAGTATTGACAGCCACTCAAGGGAAAAAAAGTGGTTTTTATAAACATTGTAAGTGCCCTGTTAATTTATTCACAGGTAAAAACTTTTGGTACATCACTAAAATCTTGATTTATACATTTGCAGTTACGGGAACTTTCCCTTTTGATGTTAAAAATGTTGTTCTTGTGTCAGGTTGGATTCTGTGCCTTTTACTAAGACAGAAAAGTAGTGCCTGTTGTCAGGCCTTTGACTGTTGAATGCTGGTGTGATTGTTTGCTAAGCTGCAGTTACCCAGCCAGCACTGAGACCAGGAACAGTGTAGGAATGTGGGAATGTAGGAACATGGGGGATCTTTGGGAGCTGTTTGGATGATTCTCAGTTGTGGTTTGTGTTTTTGGTTGCTTTTTATAAAATTAAGATCTTCTAATGAGAATTGTATGTGTATGGGGATTATGGGGGCAAACAACCAGATTGTAGCCTCTATTAGTGACTCTTATAATCTGTAATAGTTCACGGTCTGTATTCTACATAGAAGAGGCCACTTCTGTCAAGCTAAGGAAGTTTTTTCTTATTTTAAGGTTGTCTACAAATTGGGACATTGGAATATGCTTTAATTCATAATATTGAAATGCTGTGCAGGTTTCAGTAACCATCATGTAACCAACCATTCAGTAACCAAAACATGCAGCAGGTGACCCTATGTGAGTGTTCAGGAGGGACAGAATATTTCCAGGAGAAGAACACCAAGACATTATTTAGGATGAAAATCCTAAACAATGACCATACTAACCTGGATTAAAACAGAATATGTATTTTCCAGCACTGATAACATCTTTTATTGTTTGTCTCAAAACAATCCATCTCCTGTTTTGCTGCATTACTTGGGATTAGTTCTGATGACCTCTTTTACAACGTGACTTCAAGGTTGGATTCGATGGTCTTGGAGGTCTTTTCTGGCCTGAATGGTTCTGTGATTCAGAGATCCCCGACCACAAAGTTGTCACTGTGGACTCAGCAGAAGGAGCTCCCATGTCCATGTCCATGTCATGGGGCACCAACAGCTCCCTGTCGTGCTGAACCTTACAAAGCACAGCATTCCTGGGTGGTCCCACCCTACGCTGCCCACGGCAGCACCACTGGCCTGGTCACCTCACTGGGACAATCTGCAGGGCTCTGGGGGGTCCTGTGCTACACTCAGGTTTAATCACACCAGTGAAAACACTTCCCTGACTTTGGTCTTGTGCTGCTTCCTTGTTGTTGTGCAGATCATTTTCATGGTTGGCCGAGGTTATGCTTCCCCAGACCTCAGTAAACTGTACAAGAACTGCCCCAAAGCAATGAAGAGGCTTGTAGCAGATTGCTTGAAGAAGGTTAGGGAAGAACGACCTCTGTTCCCACAGGTAAGTGTGTTTTGTGCACAGGGTGTTGTATAAATAGCCATTAGCACACAAAAGAATTGCTCAGATGGAAGGTTTGGGTTACATGAAGTGCAGCCTGGGTCCTATTTTTGCCTTTGTTCATAACCCTGCTCCTTTGGCAGTTGGTGTTTTGTTTCTGCAAAGGTCATGAAAATCATGACTCACGGAGCTGAGGCTGTGCCAGGTGACACTGGAGCAGTTTGACAGCTGAGCCACTTTAGGGAGAAGCAAAAACCCCCCCAACACAATTCAAATCAAATCTGTTTCTCTGTATACATTTTATTTTAGTGTAGGTTTGAGGGAAATGAGAGACAACTCGTCCTTTCCTTCCCCACAGCTAAAACAAGCAAACAAAATCCACTGGGGGGTGGAAATCCATGTAGCAATTTTTGGTATTTTTACAAGGGGTAATTTATTTTTTTCTGTCACTGTGAGGATGGGGAAGGTGCTTTCTTATTAAATAGCTGGAATTAAATATCAGTGAATTTTGGAAAAAGAACTTCTTGCTGTTATAAACAGCTTGTTGTTTAAAAAGTTCTTTCCAAATGCAGTTGTTTCCCTGTTACTCTGCTGGGATTGCACAGATGCTTGTTAATTGTCTGAGAACTAATGAAGAACCCCTCCCATGCTCTGAGCCTCAGTGAGGCTCCTCAGAGCACACACTGGATGGCAGAGGTGGGTTATGGCAGCTGGAGTGTTGTTTCAGTGCCCAGAGCACGTTGCTGCTCTGGAAGATGAACTTAAAGCCTTAACTGAGTGGAGGTGGGAAGGACTGGAATGAAGGAATGCATGAGGGTTTAGGACTGAGGCAGGAAGAGCTGCCTGTGAGCAGCCCCTGAGCTGGCTGTGTCCCCAGATCCTGTCGTCCATCGAGCTGCTGCAGCACTCCCTGCCCAAGATCAACCGCAGCGCGTCGGAGCCGTCGCTGCACCGCGCGGCGCACACGGAGGACATCAACGCCTGCACCCTCACCTCCTCCAAGCTGCCCGTCTTCTAGGCCTGCCCCGCCCGGGGACGGGCACAGGACAGTGTGCCCTCCGTGCCTCGGGCACAGGACAGTGTGCCATCCGTGCCTCAGGCACAGGGACAGTGTGCTCTCCGTGTGCTCTCCGTGCCTCGGGCACAGGACAGTGTGCCCTCCGTGCCTCAGGCACAGGACAGTGTGGTCTCCGTGCCTCGGGCACAGGACAGTGTGCCATCCGTGCCTCAGGCACAGGACAGTGTGGTCTCTCGTGTGCTCTCTGTGTGCTCTCCGTGCCTCGGGCCCAGAGCAGCGCCAGGGGAGCCTCCCCGTCCCAAGGAGCTGCTGCGGAGCCGCTGCCAGGACCGGCGTTCTCAGCCCTGCTGGGGCAGGGACACTGCACGTCAAGAGATCTATTACTGGTTCTTTAATAGATGCACTTGAGCCTTACTTTACAGATGCTCCTCTGGCGGTGGTTGTGGCTGGGTGTGTGCTGAGGGGGTGTTCCCACAGCCAGGGTGGCTCTGAGGACAGGTCGTGGTGCTCTGATTGCCACCTCGGTGGGGGAGCTGTGCCTGCAACGGCTCTGCAAACGAGACTGAGGGAAGAGGAAATAACTCTGGAAATCAGCTCCTGCCCTAAGAGCTTCATCAAGCCAATGAAATAAGTTAAAATGCTAATTCAACACAAAATAGTTTTGCAATAGTTTTGCACATAGAAGAAAAACTCTTGCAAAAGAATGGAATCTGTTCCGAATTGTCCTGCTCAGAGAAGGAAGCAGCCGGTCGTGGTCATCCTGAGAAGCCTCACAGCTGACTTTGGTACTAAGGACTGTTCCCTGCAGCCCAGGAGTGGAGAGTGGATCCCAGCCTGAGGGCTGGCCAAGGCTGAGGGATGTTATCCGTCTGCATCCCATGGGAAGCTGTCGTGCAAGAGATGCACTATCAAGAGGAAACTGAGCATATACAGTTTTTCTTGCTGATTTGGGGTTTAATTTTGTTTTTATTGCTCCTGAGAAAATGCATTTATTGTAAGCCAAGGTTCCTCTGATTATCTTATTTTAATAAAATAAATTAAATTTTAGGTGTATGATTCCATGTCATCATTTAATGCACTAATCCACAGTTCTGACTGCTGCATCTGGACTTGGAAAACTCAGAAAACATCATTCTGAGTACTTTTAAAAGAGTTACTATGATAGGTAATAGTGCAAGTAAAAACTTGGTACAACCTGTTTGCCATCACTCCCATGGCAAGACAGCTTTTACTGTAATAATCCTTCAGCAGCATCCAATCAAACCCACACTGATGCCTCTCAAGCTGTTTCACTGCACCACTTCTGCTGTTTTCTCTTGTTTATGGAGGTGGAAGTGAGGGCTTTGTCTTGGCTGAACTCCCTGGATGACAGAAATAGGTGGTTTAATCTAAAAATTGGGTTTTTTTAAATAGCACTCTGTTTAAATATGTTTATTAGGGCAGTGATGGAACCCCAGATGGCTGGAATGGAAGTTTTGCCTTTGTGTGTGCACAGGTGAGTGGGCCCTGCCTGAGCAGTGATGGGCTGCCTGTGACCCCATCCCAAAATGCTGGGATGGTGCCTTTGCTGTCTCTGGGGGCAGTTGCTGTAATGACCAAACAGCCACTGCAGCTTCTTGGGTGCAGCAGCAAAACCCCACAAAGTGCTCGTGAAAGAGGGACTCAAGCCAGGCACAGAAATAATATCTGTACTTGGAACATTCCATAACAAAGGTGGAATATCGATCCTTACAACCACCATAAACTTTGCTAAAAAGTAAACTGAGACTTGAGGTTCTGCATGGGTTTTATTAATACCCTTGGTATTTTAACTGCAACTCTCTCTAATGTAATTTATCGGTAATTTTAACTTCATTATCATCAGCATAAAGAGGGAGAAGAAAAAACCCACCAGAAATGCTTAAGCTGCTTTTCCTTTAGCTCTGATTTCCCCAAAGAAACCATTAAGTCCTGATTTTTAAAATAGATTCTGTGACTCTTTTCAGTGGGAGGGTAGGGGCTGTGTATTTTGAGGTAGAAAGTATGTTTGGGAGGTGCTCTTGAACATCCATCTCAGTGTTTGACATCACTGTTAGTGATGATTTTCCTTCATCTTTGTGATTACTGAGGACCAGTTGTACCAACAGGACTTGGGTGAGACCTTTGCTGGTGCCTCCAGGGGCCAGTTTTGTAAAGCAGCTGAGATTTAGTGTTTGTTACAGACACCAGGCAAGACCTGACTGCAGCCAGCACTGCTAGAGATGAACTCCAGGGGGAAATATTTCTGGGAAAGTTCCCTTTCCCAGCTCAGAGCAGAGAGCAAACCTGGCATGTTCTGTCTGAGGGAAGTGCTGGGCACAGAGTTCTCCCTTACACAGGTGCTGAGCTGCCAGCCAGGGGTTTCTCAGCTCCACTTCTGCCCCAGAAACACCAGCCAGCAGGGGATAGTGCTGGGGTCACTGACTGGGTGCCATTTGCAGGGGTTTGAATCCCAGGTGAAGGTTCCTGCTCCCAGTTCTCCCACCAGAGCAGAGCCCAGTCTGCCCAGCTGGCAGCAGGTTCTGCCCCACAGAGCAGAGATTTCTGTGCCCTGGCCAGTGCAGCCCGGGCAGCCTCGGGGCTGGGGGCAAGGAGCCCTTCAGGGGCTGCAGCCCCCCTGTGGGGGACAGGCTGGAATGGTCCAGGATAAGGAGCAGCCCTGGCAGGGGCACAGCAGAGCTGGGGGGGTGACGGGGTGAGAACCCCCTGGGGGGCTCTGGGCATGGAGCCAGGGAAGGGAGGAGGCCACAAGCAGCAGATCCTGCAGGTGGGACAGTGCTTTTCATCCTGCCAATGTCCCTGCTGAGGAGTAAAAAAGGCCACATTCAGAGGGACATTCACCTGCTCTGAATGTGGCTGAGGGTTTCCATCCCTCCTGATGGCACAGCTGGCTCAGCCCCTGATGTGAGCCAGGGTCGTGTCTTAGAAGGGGTCAGAAACCATCAGAGAGCCCCCAGGTGGGGCCTTGCCCCGGAGCACTGCAGGTGATCCCAGTGCTGCAACCTGGGCTTCCCCCCTGACCCTGAAGGAACATTAACCACGGACCTTGGTGTTCTGTGGCTCTTTCCCCTCCCCGATGGATCAGGACTGTGACCATCACTGGATCTGGGGGGGGGTGAGATGTCTCCACTCAGCTGCTTCCTTTCTCTTTCTTTCTTTCCCTTTTACACTTTCTGAAGTGTTATTTTTATGCCTTTAGGTTGCTGTATTAATACAGATAATAACCAAACTGACTCCATCCCTGCTTTCACTTTAACCAAATTGTTCTAAAATAAACCCTACATACATATATGTGCACACACACACACACATATATATATTTACACACTGTTCATTCATTGTGCTTTCACTCTAATCCCAAGGGATGTATTTACAGAACCTGAGCTTCCCTCCCCTTCAGGGGCAGTAATAGCTCAGGTGTGTTCATGCTGTGACTCAGCAGCCACTTCACCTGTGTCCAGATAAAATTCTTAATTTAACTGCAAAGTTCATGCAAATGATTGAGCAGAATTAACTGCGTATCAAATTTCACAATCAGACTCTCTTTGCAGCACAAACATGAATGCCATTTTTAACAAACCCAGAATTCAGTAAACTGTTCACTCAGCAGAGATGTGCCTGGATCCCCCACCCCTCCCGGGCCTCCAACACCGCTGGCCTTGGCCTGGCCATGGCAGATGGAGACAGAGCAGCTGCAGAGCCACTCCCAGCCTGGGGCAGGGCCGTGGCTCTGATTACTGACAATGCCTTTCCCACGCTGCGGCTTCCAGGCGCCAGTTTGTGCTGGAAGCTCGATTGAGCTCTGCCCTGTGACACCAGTGTTGCTCTGCCCGAGTCTCTGAATCAGTGCAGCTGCATTTGCTTGACAGCAGCTGCTCCAAGAGCCACTTCATCCCCCCTGCACTTCAGTTGGTGTGAAACAAGGGTGGGAACCCAACTGGCACTGTCTGGAGAGCCAGGCCTTGTCCAGCCCCACTCCCAAGACACCCACCCAAGAGTGCAGCAAACTTTATGCTGAACTCCAGGTACTGTCTGAGGTATAATGTGTAACTTCTTAAATCTCAGGTCTCCTTTTTAAGGAGAAAAATATACACTAACTATTATTCCTAGTGGGTTTTGTAGTTATAAATTTAGTTGATTTAGTGGAGGAAACAAAAAAAAAAAGCACCCAAACTCTATTCAGCAACAGTTTTTACCAGCTTAAGCTTTACCTGGCACTGTATTTACACTACCACTCAGCTCACAAGACAGCTTATGTTAGGCCAGAGAGGGAAAAAACCCTCTTGGGATTAAGGGATTTTTTTTTTCTCCATGCAGTCAATTTATTTTTTTAAATATATTTTAGTATTTTTGTTGCCATACAAAAACTATCTGAAAACTTCACCGGGACTGCACAGTAAACCACAGGGCATGTTTGTTCTACCTGTGCTGCAGAGAGTAAAAGCCAGGCTCATAAATAGCTGCAGTGCTGTGGGTGGGGGCTGTGCTGTGCTCACGGGGCAGCAGCAGGGTCCTCCTCAGCCCCCGAGAGGTGCATGAACAGCTCCCCCAGCTCGGTGACCTGGTCGGTGCCCGGCGCCGCCCGGCTCTCCCTGTCCTCGATGAAGTCCCACAGCCGCACCGAGTTGAAGAACTGCAAAGAGAGAGAGGTGCCTGAGCAGGGACCAGCCCCAGACTGGACACTGCCCTGCAGCCCTGCCCCTCATCACAGCAGCCTGGCTGGGGCTGCAGAGCTGGGTCTGTGCTCTGAGCTCAGGCTGACACCCCCCCTGCACCAAGGGCAGTGCACACAGGCCAGGACGAGTTTCTGAGGAGGCTTTAACCTTCTCAGCTGCCCCTGGGGCCAGCTCTGTGCAGGCACATGACAGGAGCTTTTAGCACTGTGGCTGCAAGCTGTAAGGGCAGCACTGCTGCCAGGAAAGGTGTGCCCTGAGGAGGACTGGCTGACCAAATAAAGCAAACATTTTGCTGCTAAGCGAGGTGCCTTTTCCTTTCCCTAACAACAAAGCTTTGCCCCCAGGGGCATCGAGAGGTGCTTTTTGTGCTGGTGCTGCAGGGCACAGCCCCCTCCCCGCAGCCCCAGCTCCCCGCAGGGGGCAGTGCCCGGTGCTCACCCGCACGGTGCCCTCGGAGCTCAGCTGCTTGCGGGGTTTCTCGGGCTCGGCGCGGGTGCCGTCGGGGTACGCGTGCAGGTACAGGCACTTCCCGCCAAACGGGCACGTCCCCTTCCCCTGCTCAAAGTACTTGCAGGGCTTTTTCCTGGTTTAATGAGAAGAGAGAGTTAGTGCCTCCAGCTGGGGAGGAAGGAGCTGCAGGGCAGTCCCCAGGCTCAGCCTGAGTGATGCTCCAGTTCTCACACCCAGAGCTTTGGCCTCCCCTTCCCTGAGAGCAGCCAAAACAGAGGGCAGAGAGCACTGAAAGCAAACAAACACATATGAAACCAGCATCAGAAATCAAACAGTTTCCTTTTAAGCTGTGGAAAGTGAAGGATGTTCAAAGAGCATCACAGTGGGCCAATCCAATTGCTGTTTTTCTATCACATCTTTTTTCCTGCCCTTTCTACCACTACATTTTTAAGAACCAGTTCCCCTTCTCATCTCCTTTGACAATTCTTTGTTAATTTATGTTCCCTCATCTTTGTTGTTCAGCCAAGGTGTCCAGGCTGCCCAGCAAATTGTTCCAGGGTTGATCCTTGCACAGTTTATACAACAGTACCTGGGGGGTGTCGGTGGATTGTTCTACACTGAAAACAGCTGAAACTACAGGGAAAATGCAACAGAACTTGTTAATATGGAAATAGTGATGAAACTGATTCCCAAGACACAGATACATCCATCCAATAGCAACTGCATGGAGCAGAAAGATCAGCACTAACAAAAAGAACACCCAAACACCTGAACAGGGAGGGCATGAAACCCACAGTGAACTGGTCTGGGTTTGGGACTCAACTGCTCTTTGACTTCCAGGTTTCTTGGTCTGACTTTTCTCATCCTGTGTTGGCCTGACCCCAGCTCTTGGTTTAGACTCCACTTTAGCAGCATCTCATTAGTACTTCTTCATTCACCCAACACCAAACCCTCAAATCAAACTAACTACCAAGAGCTCTGTCCACAGAATTTCTTTTCCAAAGACATTGTTACCCACAGCCTGTAATGTGTGAGTCTTAGCACTTCAGCAAAGCCTGTTTTTCTCCTCTCCTGTACAAGGGTTGACAAGAGTCAGACTGGGCTTCCCAGCCCACCTGCACCTCTGCTGCAGGGGCACAAAGGCTGCCCTTGCTGGAACACGGCTGTTTAAAAACTGTGCTGAGGCTTTGCAGCACAACTGGCCACCTCAATCCAGAGTCCTCAGGAGCTAAAACAAACCAAACCAGTGATGGGGGGTTGAAAACCACCCCTCTCTGAAGAACTGCAGTTTAAAGTGCTTAATTTTATTCAGATATTGTGCCTACTAGAAGATAGGATGCTGGGTTAAGTGTTTCATGGAGCAGCACTGCTTTCAGCTGTTCTGCTGAGCTCCCCAGGCCTTCAGGCAGCTGAGAAGCTGCAGCCACAGTAAGGTGGGTCACAGTAAGGCCCATTTTTTCCCATTGTTTAAAGGTGGATGCACATCACAGCATAAAGCTGCAGACCTTCAGCAGAACAGACCAGGCTCACTGGGGTGGGGCCCTGCCTGGTCACCTTAAAAACAGGCAGCAGAGATAAGAAATGGTATCTCCCTGCTCTGTGAACCACACAGCCCTCACACATCCCAGCTCTGCAGGGCTGCTCCAGCACTGCCCTGTCCCAGTGCTCCCAGTGTCCCTGCTGGACAATACAAGGAATGCAGTCCTGCAGTATTTGCCATTTCCAGTAGACATCACAAAAGCTCCATGAATTTTTATCCCATATTGCAGGAGACTATTACATTTTCCTTCCCTCTTTGATCTCAGTGACCAACAACATTCCAGGCAATTGTGTCTGAGGGATAAACTGTAGCAATGAATTTGCCCTATATGGAATGGAAGAAGTCCTGCCAGAGATGGAATGGTGAAGGAAAAGAAGAAAACAGTTCAAATGTTATAGAAACAGAAGTTTTTAATGTTGTTTAAACAGATCTTAAGATGGCTTTTCTGTATTTTGCAAAGTCACTCTGTCTCCTTCCTGACACCCCCCTGTAAAGGACCCTTATGCAGGAATGTCCTGGGCCTTCCCATTGGCTTTGTTCACCTCTTTCTGTTGGCTGTTAACTCTTTACCTGATTGGGTTTTTCTGTAGTACCTTGACCCTGTAATTGGTCCCTTTCCAATCCCCCTGAAAGCCATAGAAACCCCTAGCCCCAATAAACTCTCTCGTCCATCCGTCCCTCAGCGTGGTTTGTGTGAGCTCCTTATGGGCTCATCGAGCCACGTGCTCGAGGGGCACTTTGGGAGAGCATCACACTCCAGAGAATGGTGTAACACCCAGGACCTGAAGGTGCCCCCCTCCAAATCAGCCGTCGTAATAAACAAGCCACGTAAAGCCAATTTTGGCAAGTGAGCTGAAATAACTTCAACACTCCAGAGCACAGTGAGGTTGAATAATTTCTGATCTACAGTTACAGGCCAGACCCTTTGATGGTAGCCACAAAGTTAAGCAGAGGAGTGAGCAGAGATCAGGAGCTCTCTGGACAATGGGCTGGAGTTACATGAAGTTTAGAAGTGCAGGCTCAGTGACTGACTGACCCTTGGTGCACCTAAAGAACAACACACAGAGTGTGTTACTGAACTTACCCCACTCCCTGCTTAAAGGCTTCAATCAGCTCATTCTTCTTCTCCTGCTCCTCCACCCAGTACACACTGGGGATGACGAACTCCGAGATCACTCGGCACTCGGGGCATGACCTGCAGGGAACAGTGCTGTCACCTCTGTCCCCTCCCAGGAGGGGCACCCTCACTGCCTTTGTGAGGGTGCATTTGCACTGTGAGTGCTGCAGCTCCCTTGCAGCACAAAGCCAAACCAGAGGAGAAACACAAATGGAGGTGTCTCAGCCTTTGGAAATGCAATGACCTGACATTCACTTCAGTGAAAGTTGTAGTAAAAGTTGTGCAGAAAAGTTTATTTTGGCAGGAAAATGAAAATATTTCCCATCTTTTCCTCAGCGTGTTTGTAGCTTAAAAGAGAGCTACGCTCAAAAAAGGGAACTGATTGGGTGTTTTAAATTCTCTCACCTGAGGAGGAACATGCAGGGAGTACATTTTTTATGGAGCTGGCAGATGAAGGCATTTACTCAGACACACACAAAGGTGTGATTAGTGGGACCTTTACCTGGAGTAAGTCACAATTTACAGAGAAGTCCTATAATGAAGCACATCCATGTGTGTATGCACAGGTCACTGTGAGGGGCAGAGGCTAACGAGGTCCCAGCTGTTCTAGAGTGTCTGCTCTCTGCCCCAACAACACACACAGGGCCCAACTCTCCCCACACGGGGCCAGAGCATGAAGTGAACTGTTACCAAAGGACACCCCAGGTGTCCCTGCTGCTCTAGGGGACTGCTCTCATAGCCAATCCCTGGAACTGGCCAGCCCTTGGACCTCTTTCCTGAGCTCTCTGCTCATACTTCCAGCTCCAGAATCCCTGCCCAGCAGTTCCCTCTGAAAGCCCCTCCGTGGCAGGGCCCAGGAGAACACTCACTTGATGATGGGGTTCTCAAACTGCTTGGCACATCTCCACTGCCGGATGCAGGACAGGCAGTAGGTGTGGGTGCAGTTGGACAGGATCCCAAACCTCCTCTCCGAGGCCGATGGTTTCTCGTACACCACCTCCATGCAGATGGAACACACCTTGTCCTGGCTGGCCTGGAAGGCAAAGGCCTTCTCCATGTCGTGCTCAAACGTGGCCATGCACATCTGTGGGGAGAGAGGGGAGGGTCACTGCACCCCCTGCCAGCTGGGGCAGAAGGGTCTGAGGAAGGGTCTGTGACAGCAAAAACACAGAGCACTGCTAAGGGCATCACTCCTACCCATCATCATCATTTCATTGAAAGAACAGTAAATCCAATCACTTATTTCAGCCTTCAATGTTCTCTGCAGCTTCAGAACTGTAGAAATAAGGATGCCTGAGCATCTTCATTTACCCCTTTCTGTATCTCTCATGGAACAGGTATTGAATCATTTGATGCTTCAAACACCTCGAGAAAACATCACATTGAGGGTCCAGAACAAGTGCCACACTCAAGGTGTTACTCTGATTATTATTAAGGCCACATTCACTCCTTGGATATTAAGTTTTACCCAGTTAAGGCATTAGGCTCTTATTTCAGGCTTTCCTCCAGCACTTCTCATCCCCAGTGACAATCCAGAACGAGGTGAGCTGCTGCTCACATCTGCAGTTTTACCTCTTTACTTTTCAAAGGTCTCAGGGCTTGAAAAGTAATATAAACTTACAAGACTTCAAAAATATAATGATAATAACATAATCTATAATAATAATCACAAAGGACACAGAATAATTCCCCATTAGTAGCATATCTGACTAGTGCAGCTCCTCATCCAGCACACAGCTCTGCTTCTGAGAGCACCAGTGCCAGGACACTGAGCCAGGCACCAACCAGCTCCAGGAGGAGTGAGCATTCCTGCAGCAGCACATCTCAAAAGTACACACAGACTGCACAAATCTGAGCTTTTTGCCCCCTTGGATTCTGCTCCTGCTTCTCACTAGCCCTGACCTAAACCTGGTAGCCAGGCAGAGGAAAGAGCAGCTCTTCAGCCCATCCTTACCCAGCCAATGCCTGCAAGTTCAGCCCCCAAATCTCTGTGCTGCCTCCCATCTGCCCCACTTGCCCATGGCCTGGACCCAGCCCCAGAAGGAGCGGGTGCCAGGCTGTCCCAGCACGGCAGCCCCAGCCCCACTGTCCGAAGGTGCCCGAGGCACGGCTGAGCTGCAGCCACCGTTCAGCAGTGTCAGTGTGCTGGGAGCAGGCTGCAGGCCGGTCTGACAGGGATGGAATAGATAAAAACAGGGTGATGCCGCATCCCTGCTCCCAGCTAAGCCCCAGGTGCCTGAACACCCCACTGCTAGAACCACTCTCTAGCTGGGTAAGCTCTCTGGGACCGGCTCTGCTGTCAGAGCAAACCCCCAGCCCCCGGGCCCCCTTACCATCTCGTGTGCCCTCCTCTGCTCGGGGTCGTGCGGGTGCAGCAGGGCGAGGCCGCAGATGTCGCACAGGTCCCCGTGCAGGTACGGGCAGCGCTCCCCGGCGGGGCAGGGCCCGCGGGCCGAGTAGGGGCACAGCTGCTCCCCGGCCCCGCCGGGCGCCGGGGGCTCCTCCAGCCCGCTGCAGATGGCCTCCAGGTACGAGTGGGGCTTCCCCTCCAGGCTCTCCACGGCATCGCTGCAGCTCCCCCCGTCCCCGGGGGCGCCCGGTGGCGGCTTCTCCTCTCCTGAGCCACACAGATCTGAGGGGACACACACAGGTCTGAGGGGACACACACACAGATCTGAGGGGACACACACACAGATCTGAGGGGACACACACACAGATCTGAGGGGACACACACACAGAGATCTGAGGGGACACACACACAGATCTGAGGGGACACACACGGCACTGCTGGGCAGGGCAGCCACGGCCCCTCCTCCCGAGGAGCAACAGCTGCATTCACTTTTGGAAGGTTTTTTCCCCAATGAAATCCCATCTCTAAGCCCCTTCTGCTCACAAATCACAGGAACGTTCCCAAATTACCTACTGAAAAGTTCAATTGCAAGATTTCTTCAGCTGCTTTTTGTTTACAAATAGACTAAAAAAAAATCCCAGAATCACTTAGGCTCGAAAAGACACATGAGACAATGGAGTCCCCCCTGTGCCCGATGCCCACCTTGTCCCCCAGCCCAGAGTGCCACAGCCAGGCCTTCCTTGGACACCTCCAGGGCTGGGGACTCCAAACCTCCCTGGGCCGCCCCTGCCGAGGGGGCTTCCCTTTCCAGGAAGAAATTCCTCCTGATGTCCAACCTGACCCTCCCGGGCACAGCTTGGGGCTGTTTCCTCCTGTCCTGTTGATTGTCTGGGAGCAGAGCCCGAACCCCCTGGCTCCCACCTCCTGTCAGGGTGGACAAAATCCCTCAGGAAGCTCAAGGCCAGTCCCTCCACAGGCACTGGAAGAGAGGACAGGCAGGAGGCTCCATGGGGCAGGAATTATCTGCAGCTGGCCATGGAAGTCAAACAATCGGAGGAGGACACCCCCTCCCGCCGCCCGGCCCAAGGACAGCCCCTACCACTCACTCCTGTCCCTGAGCACCAGCGTCCTCTTCTCCCTCCTGCTGCGGGGGCCGCGCTCCGGGGGCTGCCGCGGGCTCGGGGGGGCGGCGGGGGGAGCGGGGGCCGCGGCCCCGCCCGGGGCCGGGAGCTTCACGTGGTCGTACCTGGGACAGAGAGGGGGGTCACGCCGGGTCACGGGTGCTGGGGAGCCCTGCACGGGGCTGCTCTGAGGGCACGCTGGGTGGATCTGTCCCCCCACACCTCCCATCCCCAGGGAGCCACAGCTCACACAGCTCAGCACCTCCTGCGGGCACAGCACCCAGACCTGGTGCTGCCCCACCGCGGCAGAGTCTCCACACAGGAGATAAAGGGCTTCTGAGTTCCTCAAGGACTCAAAACGTCCAGTAAAACTCTGCAAACACACTCCAGCAGCAGAGCAGGAGCACCCGGGGCACTGAAGGGGTCGGTCCAGTAAAGCCACGGCCATACCCAAATGATACATTATTTTTCATGGGAACAAAAATATTTCCCCTCCCTCATGCTGTGCTGAGGACCTGCAGTGCCCACAGACAGAGTGCCCAAACTCCAGCAAAGCTGGCTCAGAACCACCCCACTCTGCAGCCGTGTGAGTGACACAGCCCCAGCCGTGTGAGTGACACAGCCCCAGCCATGTGGAGTGACACAGCCCCAGCCGTGTGAGTGACACGGCCCCAGCCGTGTGAGTGACACGGCCCCAGCCGTGTGAGTGGCACAGCCCCAGCCGTGTGAGTGACACAGCCTGAGCCAGCTGTGAGTGACACAGCCCCAGCCGTGTGAGTGACACGGCCCCAGCCGTGTGAGTGACACGGCCCCAGCCGTGTGAGTGACACGGCCCCAGCCGTGTGAGTGACACAGCCCCAGCCGTGTGAGTGGCACAGCCCCAGCCATGTGAGTGGCACAGCCCCAGCCATGGGAGTGACACAGCCCCAGCCGTGTGAGTGACACGGCCCCAGCCGTGTGAGTGACACGGCCCCAGCACGTCCCACATCCCAGGGCAGCCGCTGGGAGCTGTGGGGAGCACTGGTGTCCAACCCCCATCCAGCCTGGCACAGGAACCAGGCAAAGGGAGGCAACTCTAAGGAAGATCCCTCTCCCAGGTGCAGGCAGAGCACAGACACCTGGGAATTCCTCTGGGAAGGAGCCCTGGGGCACATCCCTGCCGGACCAATGTACCAGCATCAGCCCTGCACTGTATTTCCCAGAGCGTTCCTCAGGGAGTGTGAAGGCTCCAGGGACAGGAGTGGAGCTGGGCCCGCCGAGCCCGGTACCTGCAGCGGGAGCCGTAGGCGCACTGCCCCCGCTGGTAGTACTTGCAGACGGTGGAGGACTTGCTGGTGGACAGGTCGTGCGAGAACAGGCACTTGCTCCCCTCCCGACACACTCCCTGCAGGAAGTACCTGTGGGAGGAGGCGGCTCAGGGCGGGCCCTGCTGGAGGGACAGCACAGAGCACCTGGGGTTGCTCTGCTTTGGTTTTCCTCACGGAGGTTGGAAAAGCCCCCCCAGCCCGGCGAGTCCCCCGTGCCCGATCCCCGCCCTGTCCCCCAGCCCAGCCCCTCAGTGCCTCGGACACCCCCAGGGCTGCGGGTCCACCCCCCGGGCAGCCCCTGCCGGCGCCGGGACACTGCTGTGGGGAACGCCCGGTCACCCGGACGGGCCTCCCCGCCCCACACCCGGTGCTGTCCCGGTACCGGCCCGGGGAGGGGGGCCGGGGGTGAGGAGAGCGAGGAGAGTAAAGCGGGGTGTTCCAGGGGGGTGAGGGGAGTGTCAGCGGTGTGAGGGGGGTTCGAGGGGGTGAGGAGCGTTTTAGGGGTGTGGGGGGAGCACGGCCGGCGAGCGGAGTTGTGAGGGGAGTGCGAGGGTGTGAGGGGAGTGCGGGGGTGTGAGGGGCTGCGGGGTGCTCTGAGGGGACCCGGGGGTGTCCGGCCCGGCCGGGGGAGCTCAGCTCTGCGCGGGCCGTGTCCGTGTCCATGTCCGTGTCCATGTCCATGTCCATGTCCGTGTCCGTGTCCGTGTGTCTGTCCGTGTGTCCGTGTCCGTGTGTCTGTCCGTGTGTCCGTCCATCCCCGCTCACCTGCACGTCACCTGCTTGGTGCTCATGGTGCCGCCGCTGTGCCCGCCCGGCCGGCTCCCCGCGCCGCGCACGCGAGTTCCGCGGGGCTGGGGGCGTGGCCGCTGCCGGCCCTGCCGCCATTGGGCGGCGGTTCCCGCCCGGACGCTTTAGGCGAGGGCGCGGGGCGATGGCGCTGCTGCGCGTGCGTCACTGCCGCGCGCTGCTGTACTGCCGGCGCGCGCCCGCGCGCTGCCCCGCGTGCGGGGGGGCCTTGGCGGCCGGGGGGCTGTCCTCGGCGCCCGTCCGGCTGGACTGCCCCTTCCGGCCCGGCCACGGACAGCCCCGAGCATTCCTCGTCAGGCCCACCCGGGGGGCCTTCCTGCGGTGACCGCCAGGGGGCGGCCAGGGAGCGGGGGAGGGAGGGAACGTAATGGGAATGGGATGGGATGGGCAGGGACAGGGACTGTGCAGGGACAGGGACTGTGCAGGGACCGTGCAGGGAATGGGACCGTGCAGGGAATGGGACCGTGCAGGGAATGGGACCGTGCAGGGAATGGGGCCGTGCAGGGAATGGGGCCGTGCAGGGAATGGGGCCGTGCAGGGAATGGGACCGTGCAGGGAATGGGCAGGGAATGGGACTGTGCAGGGAATGGGACTGTGCAGGGAATGGGACCGTGCAGGGAATGGGACTGTGCAGGGAATGGGGCCGTGCAGGGAATGGGGCCGTGCAGGGAATGGGGCCGTGCAGGGAATGGGGCCGTGCAGGGAATGGGGCCGTGCAGGGCTGTCCCCGAGCTCAGCGCCGTGCCCGCTGTCCCTGCTGGGCTGTTCCCGAGGGACAGGCCCTGATCCAAGTGTTTCCCTGTTGCAGGGGGTACGACGGCAGCTCCGACCTGCACGTGGGGATCACGGACTCCCGCGGTAAGGACAGCCCGGGCCACGGGCTCAGCTGTGCTGGGAAGGGGCCAGAGCTGGGAGCAACTCCAGGACAGGATCACGGAGACCCTGGGAACATCCCAGCCTCTGTCCCACCTTGCAGCAGACACAGCCCCAGTGAAAGCCATATCCCACATTCCACATGGCACTGCATGGGAGGGACAGGTGCCCTCCACCCCTGACACAGGGAAAGGGAAAGCCAGGCCTACTCTAAAGAAGTTACAATGAATTAAATATGGGGTTTGGTGATTCTCAAAATACACCTAATTAAAACTCAAACATTTTAAATGCCACCTTAAAAATCCTACTGGGTTATCCCCAGGGTAAGCCCAGCCTGCAAAATGTCACCTTAGATGTTTAATTAATATAAAGATGGTCTAAGTTGGGGTTAAAAATGAAGTCTGGCCATGCTTAAGTTGTTCTTGTTACCAGAGGGCATCTGAGACTGAGCAGGTTTTTGATGGAAGCCAGGCCTGCAGTTCCTGCTGGGCCCTGAGGGGAGGTTGTGGTGTAACCAGCCTGAAAAAGAACAGGATTATGGCAAACGTCAGAGCTTTCATCCCAAAACATCCCCCCCAGAAGGCTGTTGTGTGTTGCAGGGGTGGTGTACCACTACGACCAGGAGGGTGTGCACAGGGCCCACTGCGGGTGGGAGCAGTGCATCTGCATCCCCCTGGTGCAGCCACAGTCGGGGCAGCTCCTGCACCACTGGGATGGCCTCCTGGAGGAGTTTGCTGAGGGAGAGGCCTGGCTTCCTCACAGGTATGTGACTGGAAATGGGGGTGTCATGGGGTTTTTAGTCTGGGATGATAAACTGGGCTGGACCCAGGGGGCTTGTGTGGCATCCAGAGCCCTGTGCTCCTTCAGGACACATTTCCAAGGCTGGACAACCCTGCCAGGCTGTCCTGAGCCTCCCTGACCTGGCTAAACACAGCATGCTTCAGTTTTAAGAACAGACTCGTGCTGGAACGTGAAAGCTCTAAAACAAGAGGTTCTTTCAGGGAATTTTGCACGAAAGCCCCAGTTGAATGAAACATCACCCACCTGCTGCTGAGCACAAAGGGCTGGTGCCATGCTGGGATTATTGTTCCAGGTTTCTGCAGTTTTAGGTGTACTTGCATTTAAAGGCTGACCACACTGGGACTCTTGCCCAGGTGCGACACTGTGGTGAGAAATGGGAAGCAGCCTCATTTCCAGCTCTTCCAGCTGGTCCATAACATTGCTCTGCATGGGTGAACACAGAAAGGCTTCCTCCCCCTCTGAACTAAACTGGTGTGTCCCACCAAGAACTGCCCTGAAGGGAATGCCCAGGTCAGACATGCCCTGCCACATGCCCACACTGCAGCTCTCCAGGGAAAGCCCTGGGAATGTCCCTGGGAACAGCCCAAGTGACACACAGCCTGCCTGGGCACTGGGGTGCTTCACTTAAAAGAGCCATAAAGAACCCCCCCATCAAATCAAAAGCATTTTTTAGCAATTCTCTACATGCTGACTGTAAATTTCAGAGCTCATCCACCATCTCCCCAGACCAGGAGATGGAAGATTTTGATGTGGAATAGAATTTTTAGATGTTTACAGGACTTGTGAAGCCAACAGGATTTGTGTTACTTTTACAATTCCCAGTGCCTTAACAGGAATACTAAAATTGGCTTGGTGTCAAAAAACCTCACTGGCAGAAGGCAGACAGATGTTTTCATCTCTTCTATCAGCTTTTCTTCACTCTTCTGCCACCTCCTGACACAGTGACCTACTTTTCCCACTAGACCAGTAACCACTGAACTGCCAAAAACTCTTAATTAACTCCTCTGGTTTTCAGTGGACAGGAACTGCACTAAACTAATCCTGGAACTCCTCTGGGTTCAGGCTGAGCCGAGCTCTGAGTTTCTTGATTGCTTGTCATTTACTGGAGGGCAGTGTAGAAGAGCTGCAAAGAACTGCAGCCACAGCCAGGACCAGCAGCACCTGCAGGGACTGGGAGGAGCTGGCTCTCCTGTCTGGATCCAAGGACACGCTTCCCAAAAAGGAGGAGCTGAGCTTTGTCACTGAACAGGAGCTCACAGGTCACTTCAGGTGCCTTAAACCAGGAGAGCTTTGAAGAGAAGAGTGAGCTCTGCTGAGCTGGGCTCAGGGTCCCTTTTCCCAGCCACACTGCTCTGATCCTGCAGAAACCCCCAGGGCTGCCAGGGAATCCTCCCAGACTCCCTGTGCCAGCACAGACCATGGAGAGCAGGAGGCAAGGAATGTCACAGGGCTGGGGAGAACAGGGAACAGGCACTTGTGGGAGCAGCCTGAGGGTGAGGCAGGTGCCTGAGCAAATACAGCTACACAAGGACAGGGGGGATGAACACAGCCTGGGGAGAGTGTGGAGTAAATGCAGGACTTGAAGCTGTGAGAGGCCACCATGAAACATTTGGGAGAACCCAAGGAATATTCTGACAGTGACCAGATAAGTGCTGTCACGTCCTAGGATAGGGTAGCAGGGGTTAAAAAAAAAGAGAAAAAAAAGGCAAAAGCATTTTAAATGGCTGTCACTCCTGTTCCATCAGCATTTGTGTCCTTGCACAGTTGGCACAGCTGGCACAAAACCCAGTGGGGTCCAACAACTGTATCAGCACATCAGTGATGGAAGGCACTGGATTTGAAGGGAGTTTCCATGTTACCACCACACGTGGGGCCTCACAATTAACACTGGGGCTGCAGGAAGGACTTTGGAACAATACAGGGAAGAGCCAAGTCAGTGTAGAAAATAAGAATTCATTACTGTCACGTCTTGTGGCCTCTTCGTTTCTGTGCTCAGAGTTCCTGGTCCCTGCTGGACAGCACAGCTGGTGATGACTGCAGTGTGTTTAACCATCAGCACGGAGGGAGGGGGATGGTTCCTGGGGAGTCCTTGGCTCAGTGGCAGCTCTTCCTAAGGAGGTGTTTTCCCCAGGTATGACGAGCAGGAGCACAACTGCTACACCTTTGCCCTGGCCTTCATCAACCACGTCCTGAGCAGGCAGGGCAAACAGCCCCTGAGCAAGGAGGAGTTCACAGAGAGGTTCGTGCTCCCCCAGAGCAGAAGAGCCTCCAGGTACCTGAGCCTGCAGCGGGAGCTGGCACACAGGGACTGCTACATCGTGCCCCTGCCCCCGGGGGGGCAGAGCAGCGGTGCTGAGCACGACCAGCTGCTGCAGTGAATCAGCTGCTGCAGTGAATCAGCCTGAAGGCTCCACAGCTCAGGGCTTAGGGGGCAGGATCTCATTAGTTAAAACCAGTTAATTTTAAGCTGAAGGATACTGACCTTGTGCATTGGAGTGAGGTAACAGATGTATGATGCACTACAGAGAATTTCTGTGATAATTCTTCCTACGCAAACATGTTTTCTTATTTACATTCACTGGGTGCTCTGCAAACGCACTTCATCCCAGAAATCAAGACTGCTGTGTAATAAAGGGTTTTAGCAAATGAACCGTGGTATCCTCAGCCCTAGCAAACCAAAATGGTTTTTCCTGTCACATTTGATTACTGACGAATGAAAAAAGGGAATATGTGCTTGTGTGCTGCTGAAATCCAGATGCAGATTCACTACGTGTAAAGTGATTTTCCTCTGATTACTAATAAATATAACAACAAAGAAATCCAGCCTCTTTGCCAGATATATTTAGTTTTCAGTTTACATTTTGCACATTTATTCTTCAGACCAAGGCAGATGCTTGGTATTAAGAGGGAATTTAGTGTCTTATCTGTCAGTAGTTGTAATAACCAGACTCTCAGAATTTGTCCCCCCGTGCTCTGCAGCAGCACACACCACCATCACCACACTTCACACGCCTCCCCCTCCATGTTCTTCCACTTCTTGCCAAACTCGAAGTTACAGCTCCCTGAAAACACCCACAGCACAAGTAGAAACACCCAGCTTGAAATGCACTGTCCTGCTGCTGCTGGAGACCTGTCCACCCCCTCCCAGAGCACAGCACAATCCCTCAGCCAGGATCTGGCTCAAACAACTCCTGGTGTCCTGTTTGAGGCAGAATCCTCACTGCATTTCAGTCCTGTGTGTTATGTGCTGAATGATAAATACAGTGCCAAATGATACAACTGAGTTATTTGATCCACCTGCACTGAAACGTGAAGTAGTCCTCTGCTGCTCGAAATAAAACACCTTGACCCTACACCCAACACCTCCACACCTGTTCAGCTTGGAAAAACTTCTGTACAATTAACATTTCATTTGCCATCCTTCCAGTGGGAGTCAGATTAAATGAAAGCAAAGACAGGAAGATCTGCCACCTTGAGGTGCCTGTAGTTTCCTGCATTCATGACATGGCTCTACAACCTAAAGTGCCCAAATAAACATGATTGTGGGGTTGTGCCTGGTGGGAACAGACCGAGGTGACACGATTTTTACCAGGCAAGGAAAAGGTCCCAAACCCCTTTTACAGGGAGTGAAAACAGCAGAGTGTCACTGTCACCAGCTCTGCTGTGTCCTCACTGTTGTAGCAGATGTGTTCTCACAAAACCTGAACAGCAGGGTGAAAAAGGGAAGCCCAGATGGAATTAAAATGCCTGAATGAAGCAGCAAGACTTAAAATGCAGCACAGTTGATACTGAAACCTCCTGGCTCTGCTTGAAAGCAGCTCAGGACCTGCTGTGTTGGGTGGTTGGTTTGTTTTCCTAATGTGGCTTAGCAATAGTAAACATCAACGTTAGCAACCTGCATCCCAGCTGATTAAATCTTGCAAGAAAAAAAGTTAGAAACCAGCAGGCACTATTGTAGCAAAGCTCAGCACTGTCCTGTTCCTCACTCCATCCAAACTGCAGTTTATCCTCATCTGCTGTATGATACCACAGGCCAGGACAGAGAGAGTGCCACAGGAACAAAAATAAATGTATAAAGCGTTGTGGCTTCTGGGTAAAAGGGATAAAAGCAGTGATGAATGTGGGACTCACACTTGCCAAGCTAGAGGCACTGAGTTCCTCTCAGTGTCAGCAAAGCTGGGTTATTTTCTGCACGGTGACTCATCCTCAAGGGAAGGAAGGGCCTCAGCTGGGCTGGGCATCTGGCTGGCACGGGGCAGGACGAGGCCCCTACATCTTACCCAGATGGAGAAAGGTGCCCAACACCTCCCTTTGCTGTTAGGTGCTTAACCCACAGAATTCACTAAAATCCCTGCACATTCTGGGAAGAGTTCCTCAGTTCTGAGCTTTGATTGTGCAAGTAAGGCACTGAATCCCAGGGTCCAGGCACCCAACCACAACATGTCACAATAATCAATACTGCAACAACCAAATCTCTCCCCAAATCCAAATTTGTGCCGTTTCCTCAAGGCTATGAAGTCAGGTTTTGGCTGAGGAAAGTTACCACTGATACTCTAAAAGGTTATTTGATTCACTGTAATTACTGATGGGTTTTAACCACTCAATTTGAAGACCATCAAGTTTAAGCCCTCATTTCTGAAGGGCTTACAATGTGCTGAGCCTTACAATTCCCAACTCTGAACAGGTATTCCCAGAAAACTGTCCCATCCCTCATTGCTCAGGCACTTGGCAGACATTCAGGAGCCAGACCATAGTTGTCCATTCAGCACTAATGCCTGCACCTGCCAGAGAAGTAAAAATTATTTAATATTAACATTTAAAATAGCAACAAATATTAATATTGAAAAAGTTATACGTTACTAATTGCTGCAGCGTAGCCACCACTCATTTTATACTTCCATGTTTTATTTTCATTTTCTGTTTTGAACTGGAACACCGCTTGAATTTTCCCTCCCCTCATGTGCATCACTGTAGCTCAGTGATGTTTTCCAGTACAACAACACACCTCACTTCAGACAGCATTTACACAAACCAGCTGTGTGTTGACAGGAGCTGTTCTGAGGCAATGGGTCATCGTCAGATCAGGGAAAAAAACAACAAGTGGGTTTAAAAAAGTGAGTTTTTCCTGTGCAGTCAGTTAGGCTTCATCTTGCTCACTGCGCTCACGGGAAGAAACCCAACGACTGACAATCAGTTCCTGAAATAAAACCGGGATTGTTATGGAAAACCCCCAAAGCTACAGGTAACCAGTGAGGGATGGGAATTAGGTCTCTAAAATTGATGAATATTGTGTGACCACTGAGAAATTTTAGTAGATGGCTGTGTTTCTTCCTGACATGAGCTGGTCTCACATGTATTTCTCCCTCCATTTTTGAACATATATTAACCTTACAGTCTCCACAGTCACCCCCATTTCCACATGCAAATGCTTCCATTGAGACTAACAGCAACATTCAACTTTAGATCAGAAGATGTGAAGTTTTTAGAGAGGCTGCAATGCACATCTCATGCCCTGGGGCATGAAGCAATCTAATTATTTTATTGCAGCTGTGCTTGAAAAACTCCAAATCGAGGCAGAGAGGCAGGGACAGTTCTTCCAAGCAGCTGTGCAGCTGCTCCATGGCAAAGCCACCCGTGGCACAGAGAGCAGGAACCACTCACCTGGACCCTGATCCTCTTCATACACTCTGGGCTCGACATCTCCTCTGCAGTCATGTCAGAGGGTTTAATCAAATAGCAGAGCATCAGCTCCTGTTGGCAAGCAGCAAACACACACATGGATTCAGAGGGATTATGGAAGCACTGGGCTTGAAGCTCTAGCACAGAGGAAAGCAAGCTGCTCTGTTCAAAAGGAAATCCTGGTAGATGGAGGGGGCTTTAAAAACACAAGTGGCATCAGGAAACAAGTGCCCTCAGGTCTTCCTTTTGTTCCTCACACAGCTTTTAACACTCCTTCAAGCACCAGAACGTTAATAAGCTTCACAGAATTCACCAGGATATTCACCAAAGAAACTTGTGTCCCCACTGGCAACTCAACATGTTGTTCAGCAGGAGGATTCTCTTCCCAGCCTCACTCCTGCTCCTGGGAGCTCACCTGTCCATTTGTACGTTAAAGCAGTTTACAGCACTGACCTTGGAAGCATTAGCAGTTGTCCTGTTGAGCCCAGACAGGGACATCCAGCTGAGAGGTCTGCGCAGAGATCCCTGGAAATCATCATCCACCAGCTCAGCAAGGACAGAGTAACTGCACAGCAGAGCACACAGCACAGCCCACTCAGACAAATTACCATTTTAGCAAGACAACTTTAGAACTAGAGGCTAAAAACTGGTGTTAAACAATATGCCAGCGTGGAGGCAGCAAACTGTGACACTTCAGTCTCTTTCCACAAGGAAAAGAGAAGAAACAATGAAGGTGGGAATATGCCCAGTGCCACCTGCCCTCCCCACCCTGATGTTTGGAGCATTCTCTAATGAATGCCAGGCTGACATTTTTAACCAATTTATTTTACCTCACTAGCTAATGAACACAGACAATTATCATCCCTTTAAAATTTCTTCTCCCAAATTACGTGAGTTATCTATACCATACATTTTCCAAAGTCAGTTTTACTTATTTACTTATAAATCAAGTTACTTTCCTGAGTGCATTCATCAGAAAAGTGTTAAATATGCTCACTGCAGCCTCTAATTTTTAATGGCTGTTAGTTAAATTCAATTAAATTGTGTCATTTAGTATCTCTGCTAAAAGGATTTTCACATTCCCAGTATGAATACATCCAGAAATGTATTTTGACTGATGAACATGTACTTAAGCAGTGAGAATGTGTGAAAGAAATGTAGTTTGAAACAAAGAAATTTGACAGAAACATGAATGTCAAACCTGGCATGATAGAAGGGGGGGCCTTTTCGATACAGCACTGAAATGGAAGAGATACACCTTAGTCTGATAATTGTGAGAGGGCTGTAAGAGGGGACTTTCTTTAACTAGCAGAGCTTTTCTTACACAGCTTTCCCTGTCAGCAAAGGGATGAGTAGCACTTCATTCCATGACTTTTAAAAAATACCTCCCTTAATGCACATTCTCCTCTAATGACAGGCTTTACTGTACTGCTTGTGTGGACATGAGCTAAATGTAGTTCTTGAACTACTTAGCAAGGGATTTTGGGCATTACTAATCATTTCTGTAAGCTTAAAACCCCAACCATTAACAAAGAAACAAGTCCCTTCTCCCTCTACCCAAAAAAAGCCCCAAGAAAAACCACCCAGAGAAACAGTCTTAGCAGTAAGTTCAGCACAAGTCCAGCTTCTGTTAACTGGGATGAATGAGATCCATGGACTTTGTGAATCTGGATCTGGATTCCAACCTGTTATTCTAGGGACTGTCATGTTGACACTGCAGAAGGGGATGGAGGCACTTGGGAAGGGAATTCCAGTGAAATCCTGCAGGAATTATTAACCTCATGAAGGCAAACAACAGGCCTCTGAAGCTGCCTTGTCAGCTACTGACTGTGGGATGGGATTTTCCCCCCACACCCCAACTTACTGCCAAGCCACAGCCAGCCCAAACCAGCTTTTGCCAAGGGCAAGCAGCAAAGGCTGCTGCAGTCCCCGAGCTCCTCCGTGGCACTGCAGCCCTGCCCTGCCCGAGGAGAAGCGAGAGCAGATGCTCCAGGAGGCACTCACGCAAGTCGGTCCCGTACTTGAGCCCCACCTTGGGCACCCAGCCCCGGCTGCGGAAATAGTGATAGGCCATGTAGGTGGTCTTGAAATCAGGCTTCACCTCGCTGAACACCTGCCACAGCTTCAGGATGCTCAGGGGCTCCTGCAGGGCACACACAGGGCACGGGGGCTGCAGGGCACACACCAACACCGGCACAGCCAGACCCGCAGTGCGGGCACTGCCCCAGGGACACACGGAGCCCCGGAGCACAGGCTGCTACAAACCTGCTGTTCTGCTTAGTGGGTTAGTGGGCCTTTTTAGCACTTCACAATCAGTCCCACAAGGCCCTTTCCTAAAGGAAAGGCTGATCAACCTCAAACCAGAAGCCCAGGTTTCAGTTATTTTGCCACGACATTAACCATAGCTTGTTATACTTGGAGATTAATGCTCAAAACTCCAAGGAGTGTTGCCAGCTCAGGTAAGACTATTCACTGTATTGCTTCTCCCTTATTTGCCCTTCCCATGTTTCCTGCCTAAACTATAACAAAAAGCCTTCCTCTGCTTAATTATGTTTGTCTTGCTAAACTGAAAACTTTCAGACCAGTGTTTCCTAAACAGAAATACCATTACCTACAAGAAGAACTTCCCAATTACTCTGTTTGGTATTTCCTCCTCCAGAATTCACAGCATTAATTACTGCTATATTAAGTAAAAATTTCAGACCAAACTGTATCCAGACTAATGGTATCCCCAGTAACCCAAAATTAATCCAATCTCTTACCTCACCATAATAAATACTTAAACATCCCAGAGCATAGACCAAGAAAAAAGCCTGGAAAAGTAAACAGAGTAAGTTTAAGTAATATCTAGTTTCTTCCTGTGGCTTATGTTTCATGCAAGAACAAAGGCTCAAATTAATTTTGTACAAGAGTCCTCATGTCACAAGACTTGTGTTCATGACCTTCACATTTCAACAGACACAGAAAAATCTACGATCTACAAACCATCCCTGCCCGTGCTGCACGTTCCTGGGGGCCTGGTGTTAAATCTAATCTATTTAGAGGCAGCACAGCTGAAGCAGGATTTATACAAATGTAATATTCCTGGTATTTCTATACTTAAATCACTGGTCTCTCTGCCAGTGGAATTATTCATCTAAAGCAAATGGGATTGGACCCTAAATATGTTTAACCATATCATGTAATTCTTGCAGGTTATTAAAAAGAAGTTTAATGACTAAGACAATCCAAATCCTTAGGAGACACAGGAGAGCCCTGTACTTTAGAAACAGGTATTAAATTATGCTGTAACATAGACTAATGTCTACTTTTTCAGATTAAAAGCAAACCAACTTGTACTTGGAACATACCTCTTCCAAACTGAGCTGTAAATACTCAAAAATCCTAAATGGATTTTTTCTGCACACCAGTTTCTCCTTTTTGACAAGCTATAAGAGAAAAAACTACTGTATTACTAAAACTTTTAACAGGAAAAAACACTGAATTCTGAAAACAGCACTCATGCTAGAGATTTTCTAAAAGATCGGGATACTCATTTTCCTTACATTTCCTTGTAAAGAAGCAGAGTCATCTTCAGGACATGAGCTCCCTTCTTCTTCCTCTTGCACCAACACATATTCTGGAGCATTTTGCTTTGCCTCGCCCCCCTGCCCAGCCCTTTGCTCAGGGCTCTGCTTGCCCTCACAGCCACCGAGCACAGCAGCACCACCCTTCTGGCAGGACCCTTCCTGCAGCCCTCTGGAGTCACCTTGTTCCTGCTGCTCACAGCCACACACAGGGCCCATTCCTGCATCTCCTTCCAAACAGGCTTTCCCGGAGCCCCCATTCTGATCCTCGGGACTCAGGGCTCCTGCACTACCAGGATCTGCACGAGACTGGCTGGAAAGTTCAGTATTTTCTGTATTTGGGCCCATCCTGTTATTAGCAGTTTGTTCAGCTCCAGGCTGTGTCAGCTCCAGAGGTTTGGTGTAATTTTCGAGGATCTGGGTAACTGAGCAGTCATCAAGGCCTTGCTCTTGCAGAACACTCCTGGCCCACTGCACACGGCGCTGGTACCTGGGGAACAGGAGACAGGAGAACCTGCAGGGCACTGCATCCTTTAATTCACATTTTGAAAGCAAAGCATCCAGCACAGCTCCCAAGCAAAGCTGGACACACTCCAACAGCTGCTGTGCAAACACAAGTGTGCCCAATGCAATGGGGCTCCAGATTTTAGGGGTCTGGAGGTGACACCACTGAACATCAGGATTCTTCCCCTCCTCGGGTTTTGCCCCTTTAATTTGTGTGGCCCAAACACCACTGCTGGGCCCTGCACAAGGGACTGTGGAGTTTCAAGAAGCAAAAAACTTCACCAGGCAAAAAGTCCCTTCTCCCATGGGAGCCCTAAACCTGAATCCCCCCAAAAACATCCTGGTACCAGAGCTTGCAGGATTAAAATAAGCAATAAGACTTAGCATGCAGAGCTCTCACCCACTTCATCTGTTTTACAGACAACAACTGAGAGCAGTAGCTTCAAAACTCTGTTCTAAGTACCTTTCAAAAAGCAATGGCATAGCAAGAACATCAGGGTAAAAATCTCAAGCAGAAGCTACCTTTTTTAACCAAAAACCTCAGAGTTACATCCCTGAGAAATAACAAGAACCCTATCAGTAAGACAGTAGCTGAAAGATGTAAATATGTCTAATATTTCTCAATTATGATACAGTTTTTAGTGCCCTTCCTGCTATTTCTCTTGGAAAATAACATTAATATGCAGTTGAAGACATGAATCTTCCCTCTGTGCAGCTGCAGGGACCTGAGAGCATCTGTCTTTCCTCAAACCTGGACAACTCCAGGACAATATTCTTCACTTCCCAGAACAAAATCCTGATCAGCAATTCCAGACCAGGTAATGAAGAACTACAAAAAGCATTTAATGCAACTTTCATGTGTCAACACAAACACAAGTTCCTGGGAAGCCTCATAACAAAGCTGTACAATCCAGTGCTGTCCCCTTTGTCACAGAAAAGAGACTGCCCGTGCTCCTGTGATTAATGACCACGTAATCTGCACTTCAGATTTCTACTGGAACAGGTCAGGAAGCCTTTTGTGCACCAATATAATCCCACTGTCACTGATGCTCAGCCACAGCTGGCACATAAAGCTGGCACAAGACAGACTAAGAAGAATGGCAAGTATTTCTGTGAGCACCAGTAACTGTACTAGCACTAGCACTAATATTGATACTGGTTTTCTTATCTAAAACTGAGGACTGAAGGAGCATAACTTTCAAATCTAAGTAATTTTTTTGAAGTTATCATAAGATTGAAACAAACTGAGTAACCCCCCTGCACATGTTTAATAGTTCATATACCATTTAAGCAAAATAAAAATGTGGTCCAACACTGTTTTGCTAAGTGTACAAACCAGCAATGTTAATTGATAATTTGTATCAAAAAAGTAAAATATTAGTACATTATAAAAATTCAAGAGCTGCTTCAGTCTATGCTATAGCAATTCCTTAAGGAAATGGAAGTTGTTTTAAAGAGCTTGCCCCAGAAACTTGTTTTTGCCCTCCTCAGCTAAGAAACAAGTTTATTTTGATTATTATGATTAATCACCCATCCTACTATGCATGCACTCAGTCTTGGCCTCTATTCAGCAATCAATACCTGCAAGATTACATGAAAAAAACCACTGATTATCCCCTACTCTATTTCCAGTTCTTGTAATGTGATTTATAAATGAAATAATGAGAAAAGAAATAGAAGCAAATCATTACTTATACAGCCAACAACCCGAAAACCAGAAGGAAAAAATATAAACCAGAATAATATGTTTCCTCAAAGCACCAAGAATAAGTCAAAGCAAATTAACTTACTTTTGAGATGTAATTATAGGCATGTTTGTGTTGACACCTGTACAAAGAAAAACCACACATTGTTTCATCAATATGAAGATGTTTTTGTGAGGGTTTGGTCACTGGGCTGATCTGCAGCCTGACAGTTACCCCCATCCTTCAAAGCCATTTTGGTCCCACTTGTGTTCAAGGACCCAGCAGAACCAGGAAAGGTGCAGAGGTATCAGCCTGCACAAGGGAACAACTAAATACACCTTTTTTATCCAGCCCATAAAAAGACAATGATGAGGGGATATGATAAAATCCAGTGATGTCCATTGAGACTTAACTGAAAGATGAGCAAAGAATGACAATATAAACAACCAAGGGCAGGCTGGGTGTAATTGGCTACAAGCAGATTAAAAACCTCACATATCCTTCCCTTGTGATTCCATGGACACTAAAACCTAGAGATTAAGGTCAAAAAAACTGGAGAGTTATCTGAAGAGAAGTCCAAGGATCCCTTTATTACAGACTTCCTAAGAACACCCCGGGAAGGCAAGGACAATGCACTGAGGAGCTGTGGCACATTTTCCATTCCTGGGTGTTTCCCAGGCATTCCCCAAGCACTGAGAGGGAAGACAGATCCTCCATCGGACACAGTGAAGACAAGTGGAAGAACCATCAGAGGACATTTACCTTGCCACTTAGCAACCAGCAGGGGGTCTGAAATGCTGAACACCGGCCGACTTCTTGAAAGGATCCCTTTCCCAAAATAGCCCTGCAAAAGGAAGGAAAAATATCCTCATTATGTCTTAACAAAGAAATGAATTTATTTTCAAATTGCAATATGTGGACTGCCAAGATCAGCTGAAACACATCTAAAATTCAGCAGCATTTAAGCTCTGCCCAGAACTTGTTTATCTGCTGGTAAATGGTCAGCATAAAGCCCTGCACTCAGAGATCTACCCAGGTGTGCTGGTTTAACTGGGAGGGTGTCTGGCCTTCTCCTCAATCCTAAAGATTTGTCAGGCAACATCTCCAAATAGACATTTGGAAACAACCACAGGAGACACCGCCTGTGTCCTGGCGCTGTGACAATAGAAACCAAAGAGATACCACTGCACGAGAAGGGTGCTGAAATGGCGCTCGGGCATAAAGGAGTAACGTGGCTTATTTTACACAGGAATAAATCTGAAGCTAAAATAATTACAGAAGCCTTTATAAAATGTTAATATTCCAACCTCCTGGGCTTTAAACACAAGAAAGTAACTTTTGAGAAGTTACATAAAAAGTTGAAAGGAGACAGTAACAAACATGAAGGCTTTGCAGCTGTCTTTTAGGTCACTGTGTCAATTCATTCAAAAAACTTATTGGCTTGAATATAAGAAACACTATTCACATTTGACCCAGAATAAACGTTTTGTACTGATTTCAGGAGAGAAGTGAGATACAAAGAATCACACGAGGCTGAAGGTGCAGGAAACCATAAAGGCAGCAGATTTTAAGCAGTACTACGCTTTACCTGCATTAAAACACTAAAAATACTGTGCAAAGAGGGTGCAGCACCTTGTTATAGAGCTGTTCAATGTCCTCTGGGTTCCTCACAATCACGTGGTTGTTGATGATTTCAGCCTGGCACATTCTGAAATCCTTCCCACCCACATCCACAGGGAAAGGACCCTCGTAGGACTCAAAAACTCTTCTTTTCCTTCTTGGGGGGTGAAAAACTGCTTCTGCCATTTCCTGATGTTAATATTGCCTCCTAAAATGTGGAAAGAAAAGATTCAGTGTTTAGGTTTAGCGTTTTTCTGTATCTCAGCAACATCCCTTTGGCAATAACAAATTATCAATGAATCCTCCACCATAATAGAAGTTTAATCCTGAAACTCTTTTACCACACAAACACAGGCACTGATCTGCTGGTGTTCTCTGTTCATCTGTCTCCCTAGACCAGGCTGGGACGGTTCTCAGCCAACAGTTTATGAAGAGAACTTCCAAATGAAAGATTTATAATTTTTTTAAAAATTTATAAGCGTACACCTGTATATTACGTACTAATTTGTATTTATGAAGTTTAATAATTTATATAAAATAAATTTATACATAAATACATAAAATAATTTTATATAAACACATTTTAGTATAAATACATAAAATAAAATTTTATATAAATATTTATATAAATACATAAAATTTCACATGAATTTATATGGAAAGTTATATAAAATAAATACATAATATATAAAATTAAATTTATACAAAATAATTTTTAATAAAATATTTAAAATAAATTTACATATTAATAAATTTATATATCAATAAATGTATAAATTTGTGCATGCATCTTCACGTATTCGTCAATTTGTAGGTTTCTTGAAGGCCACAGAGGAAAGAGATTACAAAGGGAACTTCAGTACGTAAGCAGTGAGTTTCTGTTAACGCTGCGAGCCCTCCGGGAACAAAGCAGAGGAACGAGCAGAAACCACAGCGCACAAATTTACTGAACACAGACTGAATGCACATTAAAGTGTTCGAGCACAGCGCAGGGCGCACTCTGAGGGGACACGGTGGGACTGAGGGGGGGGGGGTGTCTGGGCAGGGCCGCGGTCGTTCCAGACGGTGCCCGTGGGGTCCCCCCCAAACCCGCACATTCCCCTGACTGAGGGCGGGGCCGCAGCGGGACGGGAATCCCAAGGAATCCCAAAGGAATCCCAAAGGATCCCATTCCCCCCCTCACGCCCCTTTCCCCTCTCCCCTCACGCACCCGGACCCGCCGCTCCACGGCCCGCCGGCCCCGCCCCCGCCGCGCGTGCGCACCGAGCGCGGCCCCGCTGAGGGGACCGGGAGGGGGCCCCGCCATGAGGGGCGGACGAGGAGGGGGCTCAGCCGTGAGGGGCGGACGAGGAGGGGGCTCAGCCGTGAGGGGCGGACGAGGAGGGGGCTCAGCCGTGAGGGGCGGACGAGCCCGGCCGCGGGACCCCGCCTGGAGCAGCTCGACGCCCCTGGCCAGGGGCGTCGAGCTGCTCCAGGCGGGGTCCCGCGGCCGGGGTCGTCCGGTGTCCCCCGCCCCGCAGCGCGGGGGGTTCGGCTCCCTGACAGCGCCTGTCGCCGGCTGTGGCTCGGCCAGGCAAGCCGGGACGACGCAACCCTGGCTAGACCTGCTCGTGTCGTTACAAAAGCGAGGTACCTGAGTGCAATGCCAGGTTTTTTTTTTTTTTTTTTTTCGGGGCAGACATTCCTGCCTTCTGTTTTGGATTCGCGGCTTGAGTGAGCCTTTTGCCCGTCAAACCCACAGTACAGCTGCTCTCTTGTTTTGGGGTGCCACAAAGAGGATCGAGCCGGTTTGGCTCCAGGTGTGAAAAATTGAGGAACTGATTTTATTCCAAGCAAATTAAAATGAACAGGGGGTACTAACAAAAGAACTATTTCTGTATATTTACTAACTTATAGGCGTACCGTGGAGACTGTAAGGTGAAGGGTCCTATCTGGACCTCTCACCAGGGAATCTTTCGCGGCCGGGAACAGGGAACAAATTATGAATAAAAATGTATTCCTCTGTGCCATGTGGATACACAGAGAGACCCTCCATGCCTTGCAATGTGAGGATGATGCAAGACCCCCCTGTACGAGCCCAGGGGAGGTATGTTACAACCAGGCTAAAGATAACACCCACTTCCAAAGCAGAGAAATTACCTTTTAAGGCAACAAGCGGACAGTAAAATGAATATTCAACAACTGATATCAAAGGGTACAAAAAGCGCGGTTTTCAAACAGCGGTGTGCTCTTTGTTTGATTCAAAGGTGCACCCAGCGCTGGAAATGGGTACTCAGCACTGCAATAAAAATCTCTTGCTATATTTCTTTGTCCTGCAGGTATTTTTGCCGTCTTCAAAATTCCAGAGAAAAAGTAACTTATATCACAGGGACGCAGACTCTCAGTAGAGAATTCTGATTCCCCAGCGAGAGAGATCGGTGAGCTCACTGGTGAAAAGTTGTGAAGAACACGTCGTTCTCGTGAGGTGTTTTATCTCCCGTTTCACGGGCAGACTGATGAGCCGTGGGGCAGGGAATAATGGTTTCGAGGCCACACAGGGAATGCAGCGCAGAGAAATGAGAATGCTAAGCTTGTGTTCTTACAGCTGGTGCCTACAGAGGTTCCCTTTCTATGCCAACTCAAGATGTTAATTTATTTTGAATGCTGGTTCATACACAAAGTGTTGAAGCTAAACCACAGAGGGGCCTGTTGTGTTCCTGTCACCAAAGTACAGAGAAACGCTCTGATAACTTCAGGCTCATTCTTATTAAAATACCCGGTGTTAAAATGTTCCGGGTAACAAGATGAAAGCCAGCATTGAAATAAAGGCGAGTTAAAATACAATAAAAATTTTGTTATATTAGTATAATTTACCTATGATGTTAAATGTGACTTTGCAAAATTGTAACTGCTTGAAAGAAGGTTGCTGCCCAAACTGTGGATAATTAAGATAAAGCTAACTTACGTAAACAAAAGGGACTGTCAGGGAAGGCAGGAAGGACTTCTAGCATGGAGCATTGCAAGGGAGACAGAAGAGGGGTGGGGAAACCTAAGCTGATAGAAGTGATAAAACCTTATGTAACTACTCTATAGTAGTAAGAATAGGAGTTAGGTAACCAAATGTCTATTTAGATAAGGCAGACTTTGTAAAGAGTGTATGTGATAGATAATTTTGAAACTCACTCCTTTAAATGTATAAAAAGCTGTTGTGTTCCTTTACTCGGTGGAATGCACGGGGGGCAACCCCCCTGCATCTCCCCGGCCGTAATAAAAGTGTGCTTTACATATGGTTCAAGGATTTCTTTGAATCAGCATCAAAGCTCTTACTGATTCAAAATTGCTTCTAACTTTGTCAAATCAAGCCTCGTTTCAGTGGCAGGGGGGTTTATCTGTGCTGGATATATCTGTGTTTTCTTCTCGTGCAGACATTACCCCCAGATGTGCATTGCAGTGAGAAGGAGACAAAACACAAAGAGCTGCAGGTTTTTCCTTCACATCTCCTTGTCTCTGAACAAGCCTTGAGAGGGACCCCAGCACAAGCCAGTCACTCAATTAACTAATCACTCCCCTATCTCTTCAACCCAAGATCTGCTCCCATTCCTGATGATAAGCCCGGGCTGTGCTGCAGCCAGCACTTGCTGTCTGAAGGACAAGCTCCCTTGGATGAGTCACACCACGTTTCTTTCAGAATACCGATAATTGTACAGACACTTCAAATGTCTGCAGCTCTCTTGTTATGATGAGCCAGCGTTTGGGCAGCACCTAAATGAGAGGCTCTGAACAGCAACCCTCAAGGTCAGAGTGAATCACAGAGAGGCAGGAATATCACACTGCTGCCAGGAGCCAAGGGCAGAGTGATCTGAAATAACTCAGTCCAGAAATGGTAAAATGGGCAAAAGAGACCATTGCAGGAACATGCATTGTTCTGCATGACCACTGGGGTACAGGAGGAGCAAGAGGGTCACACTGCAAAATAATATTGTACCTGTGAGGTGAGGATGACACTGAGGGGTCTATCATGCCCATCACTGGGAATTTTAAGAACAGGTTAGACAAACATCTTCCAGGAACACTACAAATAAAGTTAATCCTGCCTCGAGACAGAGGACTGCACTAAAAGCCCTGGAGATTCCTTTCCTGGAGTTTTCAGGGTCTGTTTTTCCTTCCGGGAGCGCTGCTGCTCTCTGCTGCTCTCTGCAGTGCGGCAGAGAATCCGGGCTCAGTGCTGCCCTGCAGAGGTGAACACCTGCAGCCTCTGTCTAGTCCTCCTTCAGCTTTCCATCCCTGTAACAGTCTTCACTGTTCTGTGTTGTCTCTGGCTGATTCATTGCTCTAACGAGAATTTACAGTTGCTTACTATTTCTTGAAACTCAGCTGAATCACTGCATTATTAAATCAAGGTCCAAACCAATGTCAGATTTCTGACAAGCCTAATATGACTCATGATGGTTGTAACCCTTCAGTTCTAGAAATGCCTTGCCTTCAGCTCTGACACTGCCTTTGCTGCCTGATTTTCAGTGGTGTTGTCTGCCTGTGTCCCTCTGTTTATGTTGGCACCTCTGGAAGTCCCGTGCTATATGGGTATAGATGTTCATTCTATAGCACAGTCCCACCTGGGACACGAGTGCATCCATAGGAAACCCTGTGAACTGACAATGTCCTTCCAGGAGGAAAATGCTTCTGCTCTGCCTTGTTATGGGATTTCTCAGGCAGTGGTGGAGGAGCAGAGCTGAAAACCAGTTACAGTGGCAAGACATGCTTTCCCTGCCAGGCTTATTAAACTGCTCCTGTGACCACACACGTGGTAATTTCCTTTCAAATCTGCATAACATTTACAGCTGTGTGCTCTCAGCCTCTCTGTGGTTTGTGTCCTTCCACAGTGACTGTTACACTGCAGAGTTCATCTGGAATTATTTGTATGAAACACTCCATTTATAGAGTAGGAGTCCATTTAATATTACATTAACTAATATTTAACAACTAATATTAACCAATTGTCATGCTATGGAGATTCTACTTCATAAAATTAAGTTGCCATATGCAGGGAATTTTGTTATCCAAGGTGGTTGTTTCCTGGATGCTTAGGGATTTTTATTGGGAGTTGGGAAGTTAATTCCCAGTCCTATCTCAGCCAAAACATACAGGCCAGGTACTCTTGAAATACATATTTTACATGCTTAGGCTTATTAAAAGAAACAGAAATGTCAGCTTGTAAAACTTTTTGCCCATGTAGCACTTTCAAGCAAGTTAGTCAAAAAATCATAAAAGAATCTATTCTTGTAGTGTCTTTATTTTGGAATCCGTGCCAAGAAAAAAAGGTTTTGCATAGAATCTCATAAAATTCAAGTAATGATTTGTCATTATAATAATTTCTGTCTCTGGTTTCGACAGAATGTGCCTGTGAAGTTTTCTTATCCCATACCAGTATATAAGAACAGAAGAAACATGAGCTCACTCTCCTTTTAAAATAAAGCCCTTTTGTTTCTCACAAGGTGATTTGGACAGTAGTGGGAAGATGGACTGTAGTTATTTACATTAGCGAGTTCCAGTTTCCCCAGACTGACAGCAATTCCCAGGGAAATTCTGGTTACATTAACTTTGACAGAGATATGGGACTGTTTTTGGAAACTTAAAAAAAAAAACAACTAGGGAATACTTTTCATTTTTACTAATATGCAGTATCTTAATTTTGTTTATTAAAGAAATAAATCAAGGTTAGTTTCTGCTTAGTTTCAGATGGTTTTCACAGGAGACCAAAAAAACGAGAAGTCAGACAAATATTGGCCAAGCATCAACCCAGTAAGGAATCCCATAATAGAAATCCCGAGGTGGACAGCAATAAAATGAAGAGCATGAGAAAAGAGAACATTAAATATGAGTGCGCTGTTAGCATTCTTACTTCAGACTTGGACACTGCTTTTGTGTTCTTGGAGATTAAACATATGTGGATGAAGAATTGTAGCAAACCCTCTGATCCAGCTGCCTTCCCATGCCATGCTGTGCCATGCCATGCCATGCCATCCCACCCCATGCCATGCTATCCCAGCAGGTACAGCCCCAGGGCTCTCACAGACCTCACAGGGCACAGTCACTCCTGGTCCTCTTGGGCAGCTCCCAATTTCTGTCACAAACCACATGAATTGAAAATGATGTGAACATTCATTTTCTCTCCATCAAGTCTTTCGACCCTCCCAAAGTCACTTCTTTCCTTCCCCTCATGGAAACTAAAGCAGAAAGTCTGGCCTTGCCATTTCAGGAAAAATTAAGG